CACAACAGTCCAGCGCTCAACCAATTGAGCTAACCTGGAGGCAGTCTCATGAGTTTTTGGTTTTGTTACTTTGCTCCAGCAAAATATACCCAAAGAGTGCACCTCATACCTCCAATACAAAGGTCCTGAGGATCCTCATTGAATTGGCTGTAATGGAAGAATATGCGCAGCTCTCTTTCACAGCAGTTTATAAAGCCATAGGAATGCTGCAAAACACAAAACAAATGACTGGTGTACTATCAAAGGGTAGAGACAAAAACCTCAGATATCAATCATAATGGTACACAGTTGTAGATTCTAAGAATTGCTTAGAAACCCTGGAAACAACAAGAGGGATATGCAATTTTTTTTGCATGTGCAAACTACAAAAGGATATTTTGATGAATAATAACTTAAAACTTTAAGAGTGCCAACTGAAGTACTTGTTCAATGGACAGCATCAAAGTCAAGCACAAGCTACCCTTAGCAATGAGTGATCAAAAATCAAATAAAGGTTCACAGTTTCAAAAAATAAATTTAAGACTACTGAGCCAGGGAATAAGGACTAACAAGTCATTACTTACCAAAAGTTTCTCAACCACACCAGTTTCTCTTGTGCTAGAACCAAAACAGAACAAATATCAAAACAGAAGTTGAGCACTGGAGAGTGGAATCCAAAGGTCTGAGGTTTGATTCCTTACACCCACTCACAACTTTTTCCTTTGCCCCACACATCCTTCTTCAACATATTAGGTACATTTAAATACAACTGCTGCAACTAAAATGCCTGTAAAAACAGTACATTTGAAACTCACGTTGTATGTCCAGAAAAAGAATTGCTGTATGAAAAAGTTCTCCCTTTGCTGTGATTGCCAATGTAATAATCGTGATTACTGTAGTCATATGTTCTGGTTCGATCTCTGCGTTCAGAACCCTGAGGGAAAATAAATCACAATCAACTGCATGTACCACACTACAGTTACATTTACTGTACTTAACAGACACCATGTTCAGCCACCTGTAAAATTGTAAGAAGAAAACATCTCTCTTACACAGAAACTAACAAAGGTCTCAGCAGCGTCTGCTCAGGGTATATGTTATTTTTATTACATTCATGCAGTGTTAAAGTTTGTATGCCATTTGAATTAATTTCACAGTGCAACATCCACACAGTTCCAAGTACTTAAACTGATCATAAATTTTAGGACAACACAACCAATAAATTGAGTGCAAAAACACAGTACACGAGGCTCGACACTAACTTTTCAACTTACTAGCCGAGTGGCTAGTGAAAACTTAAATGTTACAACAATTTCTGTTTGTTTACTGGCCAAACTGGCTAGTGGAAATCGAAAACCACTGGCTGAAACTGAATTCCTACTAGTATGTGGCTAGTTGACTACCATTAGTGTCAAGCCCTGGCACAGAATTTTAATAGTGGTAACCACCTTCGAATGAGACTTCACTTGTGTTTCTAGGTTTCTATGTTCGGCCACAAAAACCCACAAACCTTTTATACCTAAGAGTGACCAGTATCTATTTTCTCTTTACACCTAAGAGTGACCAGCATCTATTTTCTCCTTACACCTAAGAGTGACCAGCATCTATTTTCTCCTTACAATAAAACTGCTGAATCATTCACTAAGATCATGAGAGTCAAAGAAGTCAACACAAACTAAGAAACAGATTGTAAGCATTTCAGGAAATGTATGAAGAACAAGTTGGAGAATATGCATACTGATGCCAAGTTATAAAAGGGTCACTATTATCAGGAAAAAATGTGACTAATTCTGGCAGCTGCACACAAGCCACAAAATAATTTGGGACATAATAGAAGTAAACCTCTTTAAAAGAGAGGGCTTTATTAACTTAAGTATGACTTTATTATGGCTTTATTATGACTTTATTGTATGACTTTATTATGCCTTTTAAGTATGGCTTTATTAACTTAAGTATGAGCCTACATCTAGTTGAAAACATCAAAGTTGCATGTATAATTGTACACACACGTTTCTTTATTAAAATTTAAACTGTATCTGACCTTACCAGGTCAATTAAAACTCGGTGTTTTACAATTGTGTGAGACATTAGCCATCCTAACAGTGATGTAAACACAACAAACAAATTGTTCTTCCATTCTTACCTTCCAAGTGTCAGTTGCCATCTTGAGAATTTGATAAAAAAGCACAGTTTGCCAATGAAAAAATACTATATAAATCTTTGAAATCCTTTTAAACCAGCTCCGGTAAATAACAAAATCTAGTGATACAAAAATGCTTTGAGAACATTAATTTGGCCTTGATAGCTCCAATCTCCAAATGTGTCTGCCTGAGGACAAAAACCAAATGAAAATTGGGTTAAGTAAAAAGATCAGAGACAACCATGTTGGACCATGTTCCTACACGTACCTAGCACATGGCAAACACAGAAGTGCTCTTTCTCCTAGATAGACTACGATTACCTCAAACACCTCAAAAGGCTTCCCTTAAAGTGCAAGTGACCCATTTATTTATTCTGGGTGAAGAGGTAAGAAGAGATTTAAGTGTCTTGCTCTATGCCTGAAGGCAACAGCCCCAACCAGGGCATCATAACCTTTTACTACACTTCCTTAATGGAACCCTTTTTGTGTGTACACTATATACATACACATAAACATACACATACACATACAAGTTACTTGAAACTGCAACCATAAGTAACATGGAGACAAAATACTAAAAAGCCCAGTATTGCACAAATACCAACAGTCAAGATAAATCAGGCATCTAATAATTTCTGCTCATCTTTGAATATCATTTTGGTTTAGTATAACAAAAGAAATATTTGATTTTTCTTTTCCAAAGGGCTCTTATCATTTTTTACTTTACCAAATGGGATCCAGTACCACAGATTTAACTAGAGACAGATTTCAACTTCAACACTTGATATTGCATTTAGTCAACAATATTTGTACTGTTGGTAGCAACAAAGGATATGATAGACCTTTGTACGTGTCCCTTGTGAAAAAATAATGGATCTTCTGTGTAAAGACTGTAAATTTAATCAATGAAAATTTTACCAAATTCTCTATAAAGCAAAAAGTTTTGCTTGATCTTAGTGCAAATTGACTGAGAAATGAAGATTTGAAACGGTTAAGGTTTCTTTGAGTGAATTAATCTGGTATCAAATCGAACCGGAAAAATAACACTTCTGCACAATTTCAATCTTTTAGGTTTGATCTTCAAAACCATGTGGGAGATATTTCAGTAATCCTACTGGTTGCTTTGCAATTTTTCTATCAAGTTTGCTTATCAAATTTGTACCGAAACATGTTACGTCAGAGACCATTGTGGGAGATCAATTTTGAAAAAGGAAATCCTTCACATGGTTTATTAGTTTTGTATTGTAGGAATCTTTGGGAAAATTTTAAGGCAATCTAAAAAATTTTTAGACCTTAATTTGTTCAAAGAGGACACACTCTCCTTAAAATGGAGTAGGATTTTGCTTCCAAATTTTTCCCAAAATTTGATAATTTTGGTGACCACATGTTAAGCTATGTAAACACTGTCCCATAGAAATGGCAACCACCAATAGAGACATCAACGCATCCTGCAGAGTCTCAGGAGACTCTGCAGGCTCTAATAGTTTATGGTCTCTAAGCAGAACCAAATTTCATGGAAAACTATCTAGCAATTGCACTCAACAGACCTTCCCTAAATTCCAATTATTGGTAATTTTGGCAGTATTTTTTGCCTTTCCTGGTCAACCATTTTCTTGCTAATACATTCAGGCTTCTTTTTCGGTTTTAATCCAAGGACTTTTCTCCTCTTTATCTTTCCTCGATTTGCATTCTAGTTTTACGTGCACATCCATAACAGAGATGTTCGTGTACAACTAAAATCAGGAGATGTGTATACAATTGAAACTCAAGGACCAGAATGTTCTGTGGTGAAAAAACATCTTGGTAGTCTCTTTGATGCTGACATGATATAATTGGCTATTCACACTTTGGAAGGCTAAAGAATTCAATGCTAAAAATTCATTTTGTAAATAACTTGAGGCACCTTAAAATCTTATAAAATATTTCCAAGGAAAATTCAGTTTATAACCCGAGTCCCATTTTAACCTATAAAATCTGTTCTAGGGATAAAAGGTCTGCATTCTGATTTCATGTACCATTGGGATCAACTTCTACAACTCACATTCATAAAAATACTTAGAACTTTCAGGTATATTGATTTCCTAACAATACAACAATGAGGATATTTTAGCAACCACTAAACTACACCCAAGCCGATTGATTCGTATTACTGGGAACTTTCAAAGTTAACAAACTTTTCTCCTTCATTTTACATTTGACAAAGTTATATACAGAAGTTCTACTTGTGAATTTTGCAAACAAAGAAAAAAAAACAAGAACAAAGAACAAAGTCTCGCCGTGAAAAAAAATTAACAAAAAAAAAACAACACATTGGCAAACTGCCATCGGGATGAATATCATGTGTAACTTTCTTTGTTCTGGTATGTAGTCGTTTCAATTTGAGCTGAGTAAACCCAAAATGTTCAAGATTTTAAACAGCTAAAAGAGACTTACCTGAGGGCAATTAACCAAATACAGCCTTTGGCTATCAATCTTGGGTATGAATAACGAGTTCCACAGAGTCTGAAGAGAGGAAGGCCACTACAGAAAGGTCTGTTTCCGAAAGTGAAGTGTACAGTACCATCATCTTGTGTTTATTTGCTTCCGAGATTTCCTGGGTTAGAGAATCAACAAGCTAAGTAAATGATTACGATCGATCATAAGAGTAAAGCTTAAAATTTAATGCGTGTTTACAAACTCCATGTCGATGTTTGCCGAGATACGTAATCGATTTGTCGATAACCCAAGTGACGCTTCACCGAAATTAATATACTGACACAAGTTTTCGAAAAGAATTCGCAAAAAGGCGCTAACAAAAAGACAATTACCAAATGATTACAAGTTCTAACGATCAAGAGTTACTAACTGTTTCAGCTGAAGTAGTTTCAGAATATTTAAAGTGAAGAGTCCTCATGGAGGTCGCCGCCACAAGCTAACCGAGAAATGCTCCTTCACTTCATCAATAGTAATATGCTTTTGGAACTAATGAACAATAACTTCGAGCTTAGTTAATTAATCAAGAATATAAGTTTGCTAAAAGAATCCCTGTTTCCGAAAAACCTGGTCGAGACCTGAGTGTACCAGACACAACCACACGTACACTTGAATATCAGAGTTTGAGTTCCCATTCAATAACAGAAACGCATTTACAGCAAAACTTCAGACACAAAAGTCCTCACTGTCTATAGCACAGATTGAGGAGACAACGCCGTTTCTTTAGGCAGCGTTAAGCAGAAGTTAACAGAATGAAGAAGAAGTTAACAGGTGAGAGAATGAACTTCGAAGCTTTTGGTCACAAAAATACCTACGAACGTGAGGCGCGTTCACACCAATGAAAGTACCAATCAAATCATCAGTCTGTACTCTGTTTTAGCGAGACAAGCAACGAACATGACCCCCTAGAGCTTAGATTAAACATTTCCCTTTAAAACAGTTTGTCCGTCACAAACCTTCGGAAGGAATATCGCGTACTAGGCGAGTTATTCCTCCCCACATCTTGGCCTGAACAACCTGCCATTTTGGATCTCTTTTCAAAATAACTCTGGTCATGTGACCTCAGGCCCATGTGCCCGACTGCTCGTCTGAGGGGCGGAGCCTTCTTGAGGGGAACAGAACTGATTGACGGATTAATTATATCCCTTACGTAAGAGGTCAAAAGGAAACAGATAAACCGAACCAACATACTGCAATAATGTTATCAAACTCCTGTTGTTTTTTCCAAGGGGTAGGAAAAAAGAGAGAGGGGGCTTGTGAGTCTATTTAAAACCGTTGTTAAACTCTCCTTAACTGTGATGTAGAGTTCAAACCCATTTCATTTGATACAGGAGTATCTTTCAACTCAGTATATTCTTCACTGTTGGTTAGTTATAACGAGGAATCAAAGGACCCTTTCAGAGTTCACAGAGGTTACACCTTATGGTCCAGTAAAATGATAGGCAGAACTGCAATGGAGGGGGTTAGATCTCATTGCAGTGGGAGCTAACTTATGAGAGAAATTTGGAAGTGGGGAGGAAGGAGGGAATGCCAACTGTTGTCTTTCTTTACTAATAGAACTGATAAGGAGAAGAGTCCGCAGGGATTTAGTTGTTAGATGGATCAGGCATTTTGCAGTTGCAGCCCAACTGCAGAGCTTTGCAACTGATTCCTACTACCCAACAAATAGAAATAGACAGTGAGAGACTACATGTGGCTACTTGGATAGCACAATTTTTGTAGCATTGAAAAGAACTAGAAGTTGTATAATGACCCTATTCCACAAGAGAAACATGATTCAAGAATATATTGTCTAATTGACATTCAACCAATAATAAATGGTAAACAAGATTGGTATTTTGTTTATTGTTCTTTAAACTTTAACTTGGCATTAATGAACTCATACATTTGAAACTAAACAAATTGTTTTTGAGTTCTGGTTAATATTGATGAAACAGGGCAAGTTAGTCACTTAGATCATATTAAAGAGAAAACTAAGAAACTATTTGGCTAAAAAGCAGTACATCTAAGTGAAGAATAATGCTTACATTCTTCACAAACACACTTTAGTAAGGAAAGTTAAAAAGTATATATCTAGATCCTAAGAATCCCAGTTACACATTACATGATATGCAGTTCCAATTCTAAGGCCTGGAAGAGAGAAATTTGAAATAGCTTAATCATTGCTCTTTGAAATATTCTTGAAATCATTATCCAGAAACAATGAGAGAGATGTTAGATTCAGCTGTGAGGGTCACTGCATACAAGGTGAAAAGTCCTTTCAACTCTTTCTTTTGCATGACCTATTAAATAATGTCCTTTGCAAAGCATGTCTTTAAGTACAATAAAATTCTACTTTAATTATGGAAGGTTTTAGGACACAAAGGCAACCACAAAGAAGCATGTATTTTAATTTCATTTCACTCTATTTTCTAATCCATGCTATCAAACAAAGTGTTACTATACTTCTTCCTAACTTGTCCTCCACTTTCAGCCTTGGTTAAAATAGAGAGAAGTGTCGCCTGTGTAGTAGGTGCTAAGCAATAGTACAAGCAAAATGCCATGAAAGAGCAAACACAGGAGACTTAAACACACAACCTCTTTCTTTTTTGTCCCACTGAATCACCAAACACTCCCTATTTAACTGAGCACCTGCTACCGAAGCTACATGCTGGAACTTCACTTGTCTGCAAGAAGTTATGAACTGTTAAAGAGACTTGTTGGTGCAGTTTCTCTCCTTGTATGCTAACCTCAACAAGCTATTTTGACCAAAATGTGTAAATCAATGGAGTCATTTATACATTTTTCATATAAAGAAAAGGAAATCATATGAAGCAAAAATATGGAATACAAAGTGTTTAGTGTTTTAAACTGTTGCTGAAATTAGTATATACCACAGAGGTGAATGGTGCTTTTCACACATGCTGATGGCTACTTTAAAAGTGAATAGAAAGCACTATTCATCTCTGACTAGCTGAGACAAAATCACTTGTCAACTGTTTTATTTCCAATCCATATTTTAGTAAACTAAAAGAAACAAACTAATTTTTTGTATTGTGTGGTATATACTAGAACAAATGTTCACCTGTCGTTATTGAAAAGAGGGGAAATTTATCTCGCCAGTTCATGGCCCTGTGATATCAACCAGTATTCACCTCCACTGCAGTGATTGTGAACTATTGCCAACAGTTCATTTACTCTAGTGGCTATATAATCAATGCCAGTTCCTCCAATAACTTGTAACCTTAAAATTTACATTGTTTTAAACAAAATAATTAGATAACATTTTTTTTATGCACCAAAGGACAGCATTTGAGATGAAAAATTAGTGGGTAGCTTTATCTGCATGTCCTTCCCTGGTAATATCCCATCCATTAGGGAGAATTTATTTTAAGCAGCTTGAATCTTTGGTTCATTTTTACTATTCTGATACCTTGGGGTACATTATACAAGCTGAACATATCAAGAAAGCCCATGCTACAGCATGCTAGTATTAATAGGGACCTTAAGCAGTCAAGATGGCAAAAAAATGAATTTCTACTTTTAATTAGAATTTCAAAAATGGCTGCATGTGTTCACTGTCTCCTACAGTGCCACACCTTAACTTCAAAATAATGTTTAAAAAGAGCATTGACTTCCAAATGGAAATTAAAATAATTTGCTGTCACAGTTTCAGTTCACAGACAGTGCAAATTTTGGTGATTTCACATTGTTGTTTTACAATCAATGGCTAAGAAATATACTATGTTTTAAAACATGTGCTGAGCTTTTATTGTTCTGCTAATTAAATCTTTTGTTTTTCCATGTCATCATTGCCATTGCTGTTGTGGTTTGCTTAAGGTCCCTCATATTTGTAGCACAGGTAGGCAAATAAAGTGTACTTTAAAATCATAACAACAACCTGATATCCCAACTTGTTTTCCATATTTTCAATTTTGAGTGGATTATTTTGACCCTCTCTAACTTCTACTGTATAATTTCATTTTGACTTTGGACTAAATATTAAACCTTTGACTCTCCGAGTGATCAAGGCATAGTTTCTTCTTTCAGCATCCATACAATATATGAAGCACACAAGTGAGGAGAATAAAGAAAAAGATCAATGAGGAGATCAAGTTGATCCAACACCTGATTGTCCAAACTAACATCATATGAATTGAATGGCAGAAAGTAAGGAGAATTTAATAATTGAGATCTTGAGTGTGAAAGAGTTATAGAGGGCCATCAACCCACAGTTATTAAAATAAAAACTCAATCCAGAAAAGATGAAATTTCATCTACATGTGCTCATGTCCATTTGCAAAATGTTCCACAGACAACTGCTGTCACACACAGTCATAAGCAGTTTCTTTGTCTTTAATCCATGCATTTAAATCTGACAGATCAATGGGTTAGTCGGGTATCACTCACTCCTTCTGGCCTCTCTTGTTTCTTATGTTGTAACTCTCTACATAAAATTCCAGACTTCACATTCACAAATCAGAACTAGTATTAAGAATAAAAGGATATAAAATTTTTCCAGTTATTTTCCAATGCTTAAGTTAGCTTAAAATAAGGATAGATACCACATAGATACAAGTAGTATTGCCAATAACATAAAAAATCTTCAGAAAACAGAACAAAAATTGTGCCACACAAGGAAAGATACATCTAAAGAGAGAGTGTCACAAAAATAAAATACATATCTCAGAAGGCAGACATAGATTTTGATATGCACTAGGCAGTTGTGACATTGAGTAAGGGGAAAGACCGAAGCCAGTTAAATACCCAATAAAACTCCCACTATATGAAAATAATGTAATCTCTTCCACACAGTGTCATCACTTTTTTTTTAACCTGATCCATCAATTCAAATACATATTCTGGACACAGGTACTATCGTTTTAACTATGATAGAGCCAATTTCTTGCTTGCAGAATTATAAAACATCCTACAATAACGTGCAGCGGAAGAATCCTTTGGACTGTTTACTTTGTTGTGTGACACTAATTGTTGATGTTGCTTGTGGACTTGTTTGCTCCTACAAACCAAAACATTACAAAAATCACAATTGTCATGGAAGAACAAAATATAGTTTCAAATAAATTCAAAACACAAGTAGATATTATGTCAAGGTAATTCCATGACACCAAAGTTCTACTGATTTTATAAAACAAACTTACAAGTTTTTTGTCCATTTTTAGTTTTATATCTCTAGCAAGTGTGAAAAAAGCCTATGGAAACAAAAGCAGTGAGTAACATTGTTAGTAATGTTTGTATTGCACATAATGCTCAGAGAATAACCTAGCATTTACAAATTTGATTACCTAGGGGTTGCAAGATAATTGGGTTTCTTCAAGTGAGTTGATTTTGTAAATTAGCCAGTGTTAAGAGTTTTAAAAGATGGTATTTCAAGTGTCACCTAGTGTGGCACTTTTGCAAAATGAGCTACACTCAAAAGCTTGAAAGACTACAAGAAAGAGGACTTTCGGTGGTTTTCAAGAACTATAATTCTAGTTACGAACAGTTATTAGAGAGGGCAGATTTACCCACTCTACAAAATAGGCGCTTACAGGACCTGTGCATCCTCATGTACAAAGCAAAGCATAAACTGTGTCCTGCATATGTAAGTAACATCTTTAAAGTACACAATAGTAATTACAATTTGAGGCAAGCTGATTTCTCTATACCCAGGTATGAAACTGTCACTTATGGCAAACACTCATTAGATTTCTAGGGCCCAGGCTATGGACAATATTACCCAAGAGTATAAGGGAGGTCAAGACCCTCAATTCGTTAAAAAGTAAGATACGCCAACTCAGTTTAAGTGAGCTCTTGGATGATGGCTGCACATGCTGTAGCCTCTGCTCCTCTTGAATTTTATACATTTTTATTACAAATCCCTAACTAGTTAACTATACATTTTCTCTTAGTTTTAATATATAACTATACTACTGTAAACAACTCCTAGTCTTTTTTCTTTTTTAGTGTCCCCAAATTAGTAAGGGATTTTTCCCAAGCTAGACAGCTCTTGACACTTTTAATAAAGTTTTACTACTACTACCACTACTCTAGGTCAAGTGAAATGCAATTTAACAGAGATAACAACAAAGAGCATCAGCGTTCCCTAGAAGTTAGTGGTTTGTTTGCATATGCGCATGCGTTGGAATTCCATGTGCTCTTGGTTTGATTTGTTCTTGCATGTGCTTTGTGCATGTACTTGCAGCGTTCCTGGGCAGTTTTTCCCACCCATTCCCTCCCTCTTTCCATTGTTTATTCAATGTGACAGGTGCCTGCTCCCTTTCTTGTGTAGGGGCTCATGGCTGGGTTGCCAGGATTTGCCAGCCATGAGAGAAAAGTCTCCATCTAGGAGCTGGCTGCCAAAATTGGAAGCTCCTGGATGTTTCAGACACTCAACCTCCACTTACCAATGCACAAATGTTAAGTACGATGAAGACAATTTTCAGATGAGTAGTTACCTCTTTGAAATCCGATAATTTTGTAAGTCCCTGATTTCATTATGAACTCTTTGACAACACAGATAGAAATTGTGTGGATTCTGGAGTATTAACTTTTCAAGGTCCTCTGTGGTGTGGAGTACCCAATTTTGTTTATAGAATGTACATTGGCACAATTATACTAGCATACCTCTTCTACATTGATACTAGCTTTTGCACTCGTCTCCATGAATTTTATACCATATTCTGTGGCCAACTACACAAAGAGGACAAAAAAATTTCAACAGAGCTTAGAAAAAATGTATTGTAACAAGCAAACTGTGCATATTATTCATCTACATGAGGACAAGGGAAGCGGAAAAACATAAATTAATACAATAGATCAGTCTTGAGTAAATTATGATGTTAACTTTTAGAATTGCCACCTTCAGAAAATAATTGTCACAGATACTTCTGTTGAAAACTTGGCACTGGGTACCGGCAGTGACTTGTGTTTAACTTAACCAGGCTTGCCTTTAGAACACTGTACAGACATGGTTACTGTTTACCAGAAAAAACATTTTATTCTATTTCACTCGATTACAAGACCAAACCTTAAGTGAACCACACTCTGCGAGGAATGAAAAAAACCTTAATACGAACAAAATGCTAAACTATAACTAATATAATATGAAAATGGTCGATCGCAAATAGCACAAAAGGATCACGTAGTGCAAAAAATTCTAATGAACGCCATGATCCCACTGATTAATGCAATTGTCTCCTGTTCTCACGCAATAATTAGCGCAATTGTCTCCTGCTCAGTTACCTGCGTTCCTCTTTCTTTTGTGACTAATCTTCTGTCCTCCATATCACATTTGTTTCCCAGAACCATTTTCTCCACATCAGAAGATGCATGCTGGAAAATAAACCAACAGAGTTAGTTGATACCCATTAAGGGTAACAACAAGAAAGGAACATTCCATAACAGTGAAAACACCTACATGACTTGTACAGTTTCATTTTGGGAAAATGCAAATGTACATCACAATTCAAATGCAGTACTAACCTCTTCGATATTTCTGATCCAGTTCTTGATGTTCTCAAAAGATTTGTCATTGGTAATATCATAAACAAGCATGATTCCCTAAACATTGATAAACAAATGAAGAAGGATCTGTGTTTCATTCAGCAAATAGAGGTTTTGCATGGCAGGAACAATGAAAATATTTTGCATAAGAAAGAAGATTTTTTCCCATAGGAAAAATAATCTATTGTTCCTGCCATGCAACATAGCTGCTGTGCAAAACCTCTATAGGCATTGCCTTTTCATAACAGATAAATACTATACGGTTTGTGGTGGTTGTCTAGGCTGTCCACTTCTGAGTAAGAAAACAATCTGAACTAATTGTTGTTGAATAATTCATAAGCAAATTTAGCATTTTTCTTACCATGGCACCACGGTAGTAAGCGGTGGTGATAGTTCGGAACCTCTCCTGTCCAGCAGTGTCCCTGAAAGCCAAGGAAATGTGCAAGAAAAAATCTTCAATAATGCCACTGCCTCAAAGAAAATGATTTGGTCAAGCCTAAAAGCAGATTCTCTTACTGTCTTAGTTCCCATTTCCTTTGTTATCATTTTTCAAAATATAGTCAACATGAATGGTTTGAACTATCAATATGAAATAAGAACCAGACTTTCCGTTTTACCTTTGACCTAGTCAAGCAGATTTCAGGTCACTGTTGTAGTTTTAAAAGCCCAAACTTACCACAAGCCCATTGACAGCTTTTATTCTCGACGGCTTTTCGATCCAAATGCAAAATGGCGACCTGAAAATCTCAGGCACGCGCAGAAAGCAAAATTTCGAGATAGTTTTTGGGTTGAAAAGTAATGCCCCACTTACAACTTTTACTTTTCTCTCTTTCTCCTGCACTTTTTTCCCCCTTTCTTTGCCTGAAGTTTCTCCCCACTTGCTGGAAATTTAGTAGGCTTCATTTTGGTGTAGAGATTTTTTAGGAAACTACTCATTATTTTCAAACCACATGCTCAGAAAGGTAGGTGGGTAATGGAACTAGATTTTCGTGCAGATTTTCAGGTCACAGTTACATGGTTTTTTGGCTATTTCTCCAATCTCCTTTGCTCAATTGCGCTCACTCTGGTATCGTTTGTAAGATATTATCAACCTGTTTAAGTACGTGCTCAAAGTCGTGCTCCAAGTCGTGCTCCGGGGTTAAAAGTGATGACGTCACAGGGTGTAGAAAGGGTGTGGTTCCACATGGGCGCTTACCGGCACACTGGACATCAATAGGTTAATCTCCAGAATATTCTACAGACAATTGCAAAATTTTCAAGTTTCCTAAGTTTCATGTCCATTAGCTTTGCCTTAAACTTGATTAAATAGTGCTGCGCCATACGTATCATGACTGTTATTCCTCAAAAAGTATGGTGTTAAAGAGAATACAAGACTATGCTCTTAGAAAAAGTGAAAGGAGCCCAGTGCTCTGAAACTGTGAAATCCAGGGTGCCCAGCATATGCTTTTTAAGAAAAAACTAAGATTCCTGAGTCGCTCAAGAGCAAAAGTAAAGTGCCAGGGGCCACTGGGTGCTGGTAGACCACAGCCCTAGAATATGGAGGAATTTCTTATAAAACAAGCCCTAACTTGATATGCAAAGAGAGTGTCCATCACAGTCTTTAGTGCTGTAAGCAATACATGGCTCCTAATGAGGGTGAACCTTCTCCATGGTAGTGCCAATTGTAATCAGATGTGTTTGGTGACAAAACAAACATTGTATATAGCACTGAGATCTATACACTGTGATGTGTAGTAAAAACCACAGCAGCAGTTAACAGATAAGATTTAGGGACTGACAAAAATTCCTTTAAAGTACTTTGGTTGTGTGAACTTAAACAAATACACACAGAGAAGAACAAAGGATTGTCTTATTATACCCCCTGAAAATTTTATCAAATAGTGAATGTAGAATTGAAGTTTCATTACCATCACATACTTTTTTTTTTTTTCCAGAGGATAAAAATAAAATTGTGACTAATGGAGTGCTGCTACCACAAATGTACAGATCAAAATCATTTGAAGTCTGATCATGATTTACTAAAAGCACTGTGAAAACACATCCCTAGAGCTAAACTTACTTTTGGTTTATTTAAACTTTCTAGCAACATTTACAGATCAAAATAGAAAAACTGAAAAGTCATGTTACTATCTCCAGCCATTTCTTAACTACAAAAACAACTTTTGAACCTCTATGCAATGTGTCAGCGAACGAAATGAATCTGTAACAAACTATATCTGCACATCTCCTTAATCAATAGTTGACGACAAACTTTACTGCAGTACCGAACCCGAACAAATTTGAAGGGACCGTAAAATTTAATAATGGCGTGAAATACTGATTTGAAATAAGTCCAAAATCGGCATTGCGACTTGGCCTCAGTATTCAGAAATGCTGCCAGGTTACTAAACAGCGGTTAACTGCTTCAAGTAATTAAGAATTATGGTGTCGCTTGCACAAATAACAATTCATAAGGAAATGAGCAATGGCTTCGATTCTGCCTAAGAATTTGCGCGAAGTGGAGGATGCAACCTAGTGGCGAGCATGAGATGATTTACTTGCCCTTGCAGAATTATCACTCACCATATTTGAAGCTTTATCTTCTTCCCATCTAATTCTATTGTCCTTATCTTAAAGTCGATGCCTGAAACCACACAAAAGAACTCTTAAATGCATAGTATTCAGGAGGCCCAAAAAAAGAGAATCGAATAAAATTCCAAAGCAATCGCCAAACAGTGTTGGAAGGCTTCGCGAATTTATAAGATCACCGACCTATGGTGGAAATAAACGTTGAATTGAAGGCATCCTCGGAAAATCGGAACAGCACACAAGTCTTTCCAACACCTGAATCCCCAATCAGTAATAACTTGAAGAGAAAATCATACGTCTTAGCCATTCCAGTACTACGATGAAGCAAACTGCTGATCTCTTCAGACTTTCCGACTATTGAACTGGGCAGGCGTGGCAAAAAGACCCCGACTGCGCAGACGTAATAGACACACAGTGGGTAGCCAGGCCAAATACATAAGCGTGAGAACATGGCGCGAGTTCTTTCCCAGGCTCTTCGCTCCGTCCTGCTTTCTTCGCACAAGACACTTCCGTTATCCGTTATCGATTTCATGTAAACTGTCTCAAATATTATAAGCAACGTTATGGGCGAAAAAGATTATGAAGCGACTTACAAAATTCTTATCCTGGGAGACAGCGGTGTTGGTAAAACCTGTCTGATCTTTAGATTCATCGAGGATGTATTTTCTGATTCCTACATCTCAACGATCGGTATGTTGTTTCAACAAGTCTCAATGGATTTTCCGCAATCGATCGTACTCTCTCGCAGTGCGTGTCACGTAAACATGAACATGCTCAATTTTTTAGGCTATTATTTTCGCTCTTCAGCTCAAGTATACTCAAAATACGTTGTAAATACTGAACTAAATGTAATATCGGCGTTTTAAGCTCCAAATCAATATGAAAATATATCATTATTTATAGGAATGATATATTGCAGTTTGCACTTGAGTTGTCAAGATGGTTATACCATATATTACCGGCTTTTGGAGTTGAAGCTCCAACTTTGCTTTGCAAAACGATGAGTTTAATAAACAGCTTTTAAAGATCACTGCTAATTTTTACTAGTTAAATGATGTAAAATTATTGGAGGGAATAATTTTGTCAAACTTCTCTGCTAAGTAGTCAAAGTTCGTATTGGACACAAGTATATTCTTGTTTACTTCTGTTCGATTTTGAATATTATTTTAAGATGTAACAGTCTTTCAAAATATTAGATTCCACTTTCATAGCCACTAGCTTTTTTTTGTGGGGAAATTGAGCGCATTAATCGTCATCATTTACATAACATGTCACAAATGATACAAAATGGTTAATTTGCAAGATTGAATACGTCAATGTAATGGAACTTGTAGATTATATCAGCTAACTTTGATGCCTTCTTGTGACAGGTATCGACTGTAGAAGCCGAGTTATGGATTTAGATGGTACTAAAATACGACTTCAAATATGGTAGGTGCAAAAAAACTATGAAATCTCTTAAAGCTGATCTGCTTTATGAAGTACATCTCGTCTACAATGTACAATATTAATTTTCTCTCAAAGAGGTAGCTAAGGGATTTACAAATATTTTAATTTTATTTTTATGTAAGCAAATTTTAGAAATGTCCAAACTGTTCGTAAAAACAGGGATTCATGATATTTACGCTTTCAGTTCTTTAGTTCTTTGCTGGTAAATTTCCTAAACCAACAAGCACAAAAAGAGAGGGATGATAAATTTCAAAACCATGAAAAAATAATGGCGTAAGATACAAAGTACATACTTCCAAATCTATGCTTTCTGTCAAAGCAAATAAGCCAATCTTTACAAATGTTAATTATTAAAGATTGGGCAATAATCAATTGTCTCTTTATTTATCTTTTATCCTAATGAGGCCTTAATAATTAATATTACATGCAATGCTACATTCACTGACCTTAATCCATACAGAAGCAGCCTTTACTTATTTTGATTTTTAGTGGAAGGACTGAGGCAGGAAATTTATACTGAAACTATTCTGCATGCATTAAATTTTTTGGTAACTGTCAGCAGAAAATTGTTTTTGATGTGCTGTACATCATGCATAATTATGCTGTGTTAATTCATCATTAACCTAATCTGTTTCAAATAATTTTGTCAAAGGATGCTCTCAGCATGTTTTTTTTTTTTTTAATGCTATTGTTGATTTTATCTGGTGCTTTGCCTCACATTTTTTTTTTTTCTGTCTTATTTTGTTTTTTTTTCTTTTTCCTTTTTTGCTTTGAAGGGACACAGCTGGCCAAGAGCGATTCAGAACACTAACCAGTGCATATTACAGGGGAGCAATGGTATTAATTAGAATTAATATTAATGCTTATAATCCATGAAATAAATTTGCTTGCTTGTAATTGGGCTGAGCATGTAATTTGACAAAATATGAGCCAATTGAACACTAGGAAAAATTTAGTTATATTTCTCAATTAATATTCCTCATTTTCCCCAAATTCCATTTAAGCAGGGAAAAAAGACATGAAGGAAAGGTGAAATAAAAATTTGGTTGAGCAACTTTCATGTTGTAACTAAACATTTTTTAGGGTTGTCGTTATAAAGTAAGTGTATGTTACAGATGAGTAAAAATTATCTGGTCTACATTAAGATTCTAGATTTGAATGAAAGATAATGGATACCATTTAAAAATTCATCTGTGGAAATCTGGTTAGTGACTGAAAGATAATCTGCTCTCTGATTTTATTTGAGGCAGTTAAATTGGAATAAGTAAATGAATATAAATCCTTTCCTGTGGTAAAACGAAATTCAATATGATGTAACCTTTTCAATTTCAGGGAATTATTTTAGTTTATGATATAACTACGGAGGACTCATTCAAACACATATCACAGTGGTTACAGAACATTCAAGATGTAAGTAAAATTTGTCTGCATCATCAGTTAGTGCTTTTTTGGTCAAAGTGTTTTTTTAGTCAAAACACTTAGAAATAAATTTAATTTCATTGCATTGCTGGTGGCCTCTCTATACAGGGTGCTCCTCCAGATCATCAAAGTTCTTCGTCCGCATGCTGTCACTGTCTGTCAATGAATAATCCTTACTCTTTATAAGATCTTCTTACACAGCCTTAACAAATACCCCACAGTTATGTTATAAAGCTCTCATTTAAAGCCAGTTAGTCTTTCTGTGTATAAGTCAAACATACAAGCACTTTAGCAATGGTTAAAAAATTGATAAATCCTAGTTACAATAAAAATAATGGAACAACTCTCTATTTTTTTTAATGTCTTAGAAGATCTACTTTATTCATACAAAACTCTTATTCACCCCTATTTCTATTCAATCATATGGTGAATTTATAATGTTAAACGATAACAAAAAGTTTTGCTTGACGATGAGCACTTGCTGCCGAAAAGTGATCACAATTTTTTTGTATATTTTTGTTAAGAATGCTTCACCAGATGTCTGTAAAGTTCTAGTTGGTAACAAACTGGATGCTGAAGATGAAAGAGTCATAGAAACCAGCAGGGGAAAATCAGTAAGACACAAGTTCATCTTTTTCAGGGCAACCCAAGACCATTGAATGGGCCCTTAGAAAATCAGCCCCTCGATGAAATATGTCTTAATCTCCTAAAATTCTTCAATTAATCACCTGTAAACTACCGATGTTCACCAGCCTATATGTTTTCACAGTCAGTTTAAGAATTTGGTATTGATGCACATAGAAGTTTCATGAACATGTCTATGGAGCCTTGAAAATCGTTAACGTTATTCGTTGTCTTCGCCAACGTTACTTTATGTTTGCCGTGATCGTTATCACTGTCGTTGTCCGTGCTTTGACGTCGCTGTGATTGTCTTTAGTGTCGTTGTCCGTGCTTTCGCTGCCATGATCGTTATCTCAACCGTTACTATCAGTATCGTTTCTATAAACGTCCGGGTGAAAGAAGTCCAGAAAAAGACTGTTTTTTGTAGCTAGCTGCGGAGTCAGACTTTTCGCCTACCTGAGAGAAAGTTATCATCAGAGTCAAGGGTGGAGCTTGGTGTCAGTCGAATGTGTCAACAATTTTCGTTCGAGAAACTGGTAACTAGTCTTCCCGTGGTCTTCATTGCTGCGATGCCAGCAAATTTTTTATCTTGATGATTCTCGAAATAATTAATAAAGTTATCATCAAATAACAAGATGTCACAATTTTAGATTGAACTAAAAAAAGAAAGGAAGTTACTGCATAAGATCTAGACGGCCACTGGCTATACAACGATCAGTGATTTAATCTATGGAATTTGAGGTTTATACATTTTCTTAGTCGAATTAAAGACTTAAAAATAATTCATTTCAGGAAACCGAAGGCTATTATCTAGAATTTTTCGAAACCAGTGCACGGACAGGGCAAGGTGTTACAGAGGTAAGGAAGAATCGAAAATTTACTCATTTTACTTTTTTATAGCGTTTCGTTTTCCTCCTTCTATGCCCTCGCTTTTAAGTTGCACAGTAGGCATCGTCTAGGTTCTTGTTTTTGAAGAAACCGTACGGTTTCGACGAAAGATGTGGGAAAAAAACTTTATATTAATCCAGTTCCGGATATGAAGGTGATCTTACAACACTGAGTTAAAACGATGCACAAAAGCTAACCCGCAAGACGTTAGTCTAGGATCTTCCTATGGGTAGTCTTCCTTATGGGTGATCTGTGGATCACAGTCCTGTTTTCTCCACTTGAATCATATTGCAACTTTTTGCTGATAATCATTAAGTCTTTTTAAGGCGTGATCCACTCGCCAACACTGGAAATTCACTCGGAAGGACAACTAAAACGAAACTTTATTTCAAAGGATACACGAAAAGGCTCAAATGCAATTGCGCATGGAGGTTATGTGTTTCTCTCGTTGTTTTAGTTTTACAGTAGCCTATTCCAGGAGTTCATAAAATTAAAAAAAATAAAATAAAAATAAAAAACGCAAAGAAATAGTTAACGGCGTGGAAGCAGCAGCAGAGCGAAAACGAGGGAGGTTTTGGGTCGAGTCGCGTAGACAGAGTTTTTTATGCTACCCGACCCAAAATTTCCCGTTGCTTTACTCCTCCGCTATCTTCGCGCTGTTTACTATAGCTCTTCGTTTTACTGAGTGCCTGGAACAGACTAGCTTTGAAGCTCAACGACGTGACGGTTGTTTTCATTTTAGGCTTTTATGGCCGTTGCAAGACAGATTAAAGAATCCAGAGAAAGACGGGTTAGTTATAAGAGAGATTTAGCACCGCGTTCAGGTGAAACGTTAACGGCAAGAGTGACCACGTGACCTCGTTGTTCCCGCCATTTTTTTTTTCCCGTTTGCCAGTTGCTCTTTGCCGTGTCTGCGTGAAAGTAACCTATTTCGCGTTTTCCGTGAACGCGAGATTTTCTTCACTTTTTCCCTCACAAAGTAGAAGTTAATTGCCGGAAAGAGAGCGCTCTCAAATCACCATGACTTAGCTAAAGCAGCAGAGTTCACGCTATTTTACGTGAAACGTAAAAGGGCTTGCTGACGTTTGCCGTTTCGCGTAAACGCAGTGCTAAATCTCTCTATTACCTTTATAATTTACGTATGGTTTAAGACTGCGCACTCGCTAAGGGTCAGTGCGCTGGTCTCCGAAGCAAGAGACCGGGCTTTCGAGACTTGATCGGGTTATGTGCTGTGTTAAGTTCAGCAAGACACCCAACCCCGGCAGTGTCTCGCTATTCCCGGGGGTTTGAATAGGTATAGGCGAACTGCCAGGTAAGCCTGTAGCCATTTCTCAAAATGGGTGAATGTACTTTTTTGTACGACAGTATGGTGAAATGACTTATTATCCAACTACACTCCGTAGAGTACAAATAACGCCCAAGCTAAGACGAGTACAAATATCACGCGGTATTTGTGCTCCAGAGGAGCGGTTAGACAGGTTTTCTCGCGTCGCGAAATGTGTAGGTCAGTTAGAAAAAATCTCAGTATGTATGAACTGAAAACATCATACCATGTGAATTACTTGAACCATTTTTATTCATTCGATGCGATGCATAAAATAAACTCACTCATGCGCTGCGCTCACTCGTACGTTTTTTGACAAATTTATTTGATTTTTGAGCTGTTTGTCCCTGAAAATGAAATTCGATTAAAATTGGACTTGGTTTTTTTCAAATATTTCAAAGAAATTTGTACCGTGATCAGAGCTAAAAAAATGATTTCAATTTATCAAGAAATAATTGGACATTTTTCTTTCTTTTTTCTTCTCATTTTCTTTCTTTCCTTCCTTCTTTTTTCTTCTCATTTTCTTTCTTTCCTTCCTTCTTTTTTTTTTTTTTTTTTTTTTTTTTTTTTCTTTTTTTCTGGTACCAAGTTGCATAGCCTGTCAGTAGGCTCTCGTTACTAACGCTGCAACCAGAAACATTTCGTAGCCCTGAGAAAGTTTGAGTCTTACGATGAAAAACAAGCTGGCGAGAGTTCTATAAGGGGTCTGCACTAATAATGAGAACAAGCTGTCTCCCAAATTGTCTCAAATCTTTCCTCGGTCGGAAAAATGCGCGTCCTGCAGCGCTAAAAGGGGCCTGTGTTATTATTGGTCCATCAAATCAGGGGCGTTTTGAGCTTTCTTAAGTTGCCTTTGTCACTTCTTGCTTTCTAGAATGCCATGTCCACCACCCAAGATGGATTTAACCCCGGGATTGGATCAGAAGAACCTGAAAATTCTCAGCCCGGTGCTTGCTGCAGTTCATGAATGGAAATTTTTATTATAAAGATTATTTTAATGGACGCTGAGATGTGTACCCTATAGACCTGAATATGGCGGTTGAACTAGCTGAACTACGATTATCTTTTCTGGTGTGGAGCTCTGTATTACAACTAATAATGGGTCTTATTTACAGAATGAAGATTTTATATGAGAATTTTAGAATTAAACACAATTTTTTTCATTGATTATCATAAAACCGAAACCAAAGGAATTCTAGACATTCAACAGAACAAAGGATTTATGGAGAACCAAGAAAATTGAAGGTAGATGTAAGTAAACCGTCTCAACGTCAGGATAATGCGAGTAACAAAGTCACGTAGTGGACCCATCACAGTTTTTGAAAATCTCACCCTTGAAAATCTAAATTGATTGTTATTACCGGTGTGTTAAAGGGACAGTGTAGCAAAGCTTGATGGAACACAACTCTCACTGAGTTGCTGAAATACATAATGGGAAACAAAATTGAACATTTTTTTGCACTGATGATACCCGAAAATTGAAGTCAATCTTCTTTTTCTTGAAGATTCGATTTCACTGATTCATCTGTTTATATGGTCCGTTAGCTTACAGTTTCGACATATCTGTCAATAGTATGAAATCAAATGATCGCGGTCTTCATTATCTTGATTATGAATTACACAAGCTAAAAAAGTTGTCAATAATACAGAATGTAAAGTTTAAGTCTAGCCAACACAAGGTTTGTAAATTTTGTAGCGTATTGAATTATCGTAGACGTAGCCTATTCCAGGCGTTCAAAGCGATAGTAGTGCCATGGTAATGGCTGAGTGAAAAAACGAGTGAGGTTTGGTTCCGACCCAAATCCGCTTCCTTGCGGGGCTCTGACACAGATTGCTTCTACCTCGCATTTTTTGCAACGAAAACTAGTTACCGTTTTACTGATGGATGGGCTGCACAAGCTTATTTCTCGTGCAACTTGTCTACTGACGAAACCGTGACAATAACTTGCCCATGAAGATGATCAGTACATTGACGCTTGATGGAGTAGTTATCAAATCACTGTTGAAAAAACCAAAAACCAAGTAATCATAACAGCCAATCATAACAAAGGTTAACGTCACCATTAGCCAATGAGGACTTTGAGTAAAACAGCAAACTACCAAAAGCGGGAAACGCATGCGACCAAGTAACGATTGGTTTTTGGCCTGCATCTGATTGGTTTAGAGCATGGCGAGAGTCTTCTAAACCAATTACAGGCCGATGTAAAGCAAAACCAAAATAACCCCGGATTTCTTTCGACACCCAATTGAAAAACACCTTAATGATACAATCAAGCATATTAAGACACTCGTTAATTTCAAACTCACTGCAGCAAATATTTTTAATCCAAGTTGGTGTATTTTGTTAAAAACTATTACTTTCGAAAGCTTGTCTTTCCACAGATGAATTTTCAGTGAAGACGTAAATGACATAATCGTATACATCTTTTATAACCATATTTTGTAAAGCAAGGTTCTGTAATTTGTAGAGCTGTGTTCTTATAAATCTATGCATCTAAGAACTAAACACCCTCATCTACCTGTATCCGGTCTGTTTTCATGTAACTGTATGCTTCCCCGTGCGTAGATTTTAAATCTAGGCATGTTTTAGCCAGGCTTTGACAATCTAGCCAATGTTTCTCGCGGCATCTCTTGAAGCTATAACCAGTAGAAACTGAGCACTTGGTCGTACATATCCAAAGACAAATTTCCGACTGTATCTTCGCTCCGGAGAAATCTGTTTGCTGCTCAAAGGACAAAACGGTAACGAACAGGTGAACGTGAAAAGAACTTCATGTGTGGTGGTAGCTTTATCGATGTTATCTGTTAGGGCTTTTTCAACTATAAGTTGGGTATTCTTCTGAAGAACAGCACAGCGCTTTTGATTTTACTACTAAATTTGTTCCTTGATGCGAGTTCTCCGAGACAAGATTTGCAAAAAGGGTCAACATTTGCCCCAAACCAGAGTTATTTCAGTCGTAACTTAAATTTCGCGCTCTTCAACAGAAGCACGAAATTTTTCGATTTTGTATGTTTTGGATATCAAGGTCGTCAATAGTGTATGGCGGCACACCACGGCTGCTTTCTATTCACTAATCCCCACCAATCACTGGAAACATTTTCGGTACAGATTATTGCCAACGGCCTCTCAAATGGAAGCCTCCGACAACAAATAATCAACGCGTATAATCCGAGCGATGCGTTCGGGCCGACTATCAACCGATCACATGGTCAGCTAAAAGAAGTTGCCAAAATACTTGTCTAGACACAAAGGGGAATTTCATAGAATAAATTTATTAATACTGGATATGCATAAAACTATAGAAAGAGTTAGACTAAACCTTGCAAACGTGTTTTGGGTTAATATTATATTCAAATCTTCAACATTCACAATAACTGTGCGAGTAAAAGACATGGAAATATCTTATTTATAGCGCTAAAAACAGATTACAATAAAATCACTTTTTCTAAAGCCATCGATAAAAGTAAAGCATAAGGAAAGTAAATTTTCGATGCCTATTTTCATTTTATATACAATAAACATCATCATGGGAAAACTGTCTAAGGGAGTGCCAGAGGTACATCCTTATGGTTTTTCTTATGAGTAGGAATTCCAGAATCGTTGGAATGATTCCGTTACTTTGCTCAGCTTGCACAGTTAAAATCGAATATTTGATTGCAAACAGGGCGCTACAATTAGTGTTCTTCCATTTCTCGTTGAAATTCCAGTTAAACCGCTGGCGACTTCCTCAGATGCCACTTGTTAGTTTCCCTTCCTTCGTTTACGTAACAGTCCGCTTCAGCAACATACCTCGTTGCCGTTTTGCAAACATGTAATGTTTCTCAACGCCGGCCTTGACAGTCCGTTGCTGCTGGATAAAGCGTTACCACTGTGACTTTTGTTGCTGTGTTCCAATAGTTTCCTTTTCGTAGAGGAACTGTCGCAATCAATTACACATTTGTATGGTGAGCTGTTTACTCTCAACGTGGGTAAAACTTTTATGCGGTGGTTGGAACCACAATAAGACGGATGAACATCGCCCAACGAAGAGGAGCTATGCTGCTTGGATGACTTTCCGTCATGAATCTTATTAGACAGACTCTCAACGCTCGTTACAGTAATTAAGGGCGCGGATGAATCGAGACTTCGATCCGCACACATCGGATCTTTCAGATTGGATACAAAGCCATTAAGTTTCCCTTCTGATCTCCTGTTAAGCCACCTTGCTTTCTCGTGTTCTTGCTGACGGTCGCGGCTCGCATTGGGCGCCCTTCCTTCAAAGCAAATACAATCTTGGTGGCAAAACGATTTCTCGTCTCTCATAGCTGAACTTTCACCGGACGCGTCGAGTTTTAGATGGCAAACTTTGGACGGTGAAGGGATATTTTTTCGTGAATGGACTAGCATAACATCCTTAGAATGATCACCAAGACAAGAAAATTTCATGGGGGAGGACTCGCACGGAAAAGCTCTTCCATCTGATTTTTGCTTGAAATTTTGAATTGCAGGTAAGACTCCTTCACATCTTTCATTTTTCTTCTTATGCATCGCATTCATATGCCTCCAACGTCCAGAACTGGAGGTGAAGCTTTTCTCACATTGTTTACACTTGTAACGACAAGTTAAATTGGTGCGTTTTGTCCTTTTGCGAAGCAATTTGTTTGTGACCGTCTCGCTCATCACTGTTGCAGCTGGGGAAAGTCGGGCGCTGAGTGGAGCATTGCCCTTTTCACAATTACTAATAGTTTCTGACGCTGTGATTTGTAGAGGAGGCTTTTTTCCTTTAACCAATTGGCGACTATTTCCTTTTGAGTTACACTTTCCTTTTGATTGACACTCGCGGCCCACACTAGACCTCCTTTTCTTACCATGTTTATTCGCGACATGCCTGGTAAAACCACTGGAGCTCTGGAATCTTTTACCACAGTCCTCACATTTCCAAGGAGCAAAATTTGTCGGTACGCACTGAATAGAATTGCTGTTGGAATCACTTGAAACTTGGCTACTGAACGGTTTCTTGGGAGAGTGACTGTGTGCAATCACCGAGTGCTTGTAGAAGCTGTTAATTGTAGAGAAACCTTTACGGCAGTACAAACACCTAAATGCCCCTACATCATTCCTTGTTGAAAGTGTCGTTGAACGATGTGGGCGACTTCTTCTCTCTTCTATCTGCGAACTACTAACACTCTTTTGGCTCAACAGTTTTCCGCTACAACTTAAGCAGTCACGACTTTTGTTACAGGAAAAGTTAACTTTACAAAGTCGACAAACGCGTGTTGACTCAGCCATGTTGCTATCACTACTTTCATTGCAGTTGTTCTTCTCTAACTTAGTCCTTTGATTAGAAACGTGAACCTTTTTTCCGTGTATGTTCTTGACATGTTTCCTTAAGCCACTCTCAGTCTGAAGTTGTTTATTGCAGTACTGGCAACTCCAAAGGCAGGTCTTGGTCTGAAAGTTTTGCATGTTCCTAGTGTTGTTTTGGGCTTCATTTTCTGACAGATAATCCAAGGGTTTACGGGAACCAGCGGGATTCGATCCAAAGTCATTTCGGTGAACAACTATCATATGTTTGAAGAGACTGTTAATTGTTGAACAACCCTCCTGACAGTAGTAGCACTGGAAAGCCCTCATTGATATCTTTTTGGATGACATCGATAAATGATTTAGATTTCTTTTCCGTCCAATGGACTGCACATTCTTCTGAATATTACTGTTAATAGATGACTGCCTAGATGGTGGACTAATAGATTCACTTGCGCTGCTCAAGTTCCTACAGCAGCGCATACAGTACGATCGCTTGACACTTTGAGAAGGAAAGAATTTAACTTTGCAACGACGACATTGTTTTTTGTTAACAGTGGTGGTTTTATACTCGTTTATTCTTCTTGGCCTACACTCTTCATCGGGATCATGCATCTGCTTCGGGTGTTTGTTCCTCAGATGTTTACGCAAGCCATCGGCAGTCTGGAACTCGCTGCTGCAGTGTCTACACTTCCTAGTAACACTCGTAAACTTCATTTTACTCGCACTGCTTTGGGAAGAGAAACTGAAGTCAACGTGTAACTTCCGCATGTGTTTGGAGAGCCCACTGTATGTCATGAAGTGCTTGACACAATGGCGGCATTTAAATTTTGAAGCGTCCATTGTCTTACTCTTTGACTGAGAAGCAGAACGGTTGCCGTGTTTATTTAACATGTGACGATTCCGGAAGTGGTGTCCTCTATGAGATTGCAGAGTTTTCTTCAGATGAAATCCTTTCCCACATACTTCACAAATAAACTGCTTTGAGGGGCTCACTAATGATACACTTTTCTTTGAACCTGGCACCAACTGAGTGCCAGATAAATCTTTGCTGGGCTGAGGAATCTTCTGCCGAACTTGCGACGAGGAACTCGAAGGAAATGCATCACTGGTAAAAGCAGTTAAAGACTTCAAACTCTTCTGAGATGGACTATGGCAGTGGTCGGTGCTATGGCAGCGTAAGGCCTTCACAGATTTAAATGACTTGTTGCAGATTCTACAATCAAAAGCTGAACTTGCAGCACTTCTTAAAGGGGGCTTTGCTTGCCTTGAAGAGCTTGAGAGGGGCTCACAAAAAGACTTGTCACCACTCTGGGAAGGCCTGCGGCTGTGGTGAGCGATGTGGGATCGCAAGGAAGTCAAACTTTCAAATGATTTGTTGCAGACTTTACAACTGAAAGTTGAACCAGCAGTATTTCTTAAGGTGAGGCGATCTTGCCGTGAAGAACTTGGAAGAAGCTCACCAGAAGCCTTTTCACTACTTTGGGAAGGACTACGGCTGTGGTAGGCGACGTGGGAACGTAAAGAAGTCCAAGTTTCAAATGACTTGTTACAGACTTTACAGTTGAAGGTTGCGGTTGGACCAAGCTTAGGAGAAGACTTTCCATTCAAGGACGGCTTAGCGAGAACTTTCCTTTTACAAGACCTGTGATTGTCTAAAATTTTTCGCCGGTTATGATGACCAATATGTGCAGCCAATGACTCGAGCAACGTGAACTTTTTTGGGCAAAGATCGCACTGATACATACCTTTTGATGCTTTTCCTCCACTGTCGGAAATGATCGGTTTCAATTTGGCACTGCTCTTTGATTTTCGATGTCTGGTGGCCATATGTAAAGCCAAACGACGTTTATCATTGCAAACCTTTGAACATATACCGCACCTAGCAACCTTATATCGCGGATGCTTTTCGCGCATGTGTTTAGAATAGGTAAAGGTATAGAGAAACTCCTTTTTACAAATGTGACAATCCAATGTATCCCTAACTTTGCGCTTTTCGGAAGAACCCTGTGTGATATTTACTTCTTTGTCAGACTTAGATCCCTCTACAGCTTTGTTGGCGTCCACCTTAGCATGGTTATGAAGTATGTGTTTGCGTAAGTCATTGCTAGACAGGCAAAATTTCCCGCATTCGGAACATGTAAAGGGTCCTGAAGGTTTGTGCAGAGCTTCATGTCTAACCAAATTTTCTTCCTTCTTGAAAACCTTACTACATGTTTTACAGCTAAATTCTTTAGAATCAGAGTGCGCCTTCTGTTTCCTGTGCCTCTGTAGGTTCACCAATTGGGTAAAACGCTTCTGGCACTCTAAACATTCAAAGGAGCCATCGGACAAACGTTTTACCGCATGAACTGTCCTTTCGTGCTGCCAGAGCCTGCTTTTATTGTTGAATACACTGGAACACATGCTGCAACGGCAGTTCGATGTTACCGCCGAGTGCATCTGTTTGTGATGCCTATCCTTCGATGATTTAAATGCGAACACGCTACCACAAACTCCACATGTGAACGGCTTTACCCCTTTATGGATGTACTTGTGAAAATGAAGACGTTTTTGATCTTTAAAACTTCTGTCGCAGTGTATGCACCGCCAACGGTGATGATCATTGTTCAGTTGGCAACGGAACTTGTTGTGGTTGGCAAAAGAAACTGGCCCAGAACACACCACGAAACACTTTTGGCACTGTATCGGTCCACCTGTAAGAAAAGCAATAAACATTAAAACCGCACTGCAAAAAATATAAGCACCGACAGTTGCCATTTGCTTTTCCTAGAACAATTAATTTAAGTGAATTCAAAGAAAACAGAAAAAACAGAACAGGGCGCTTGCCTTCCATTTTTCTTGTGGTGTCTTTGTTTAAGATGGCCAAATCACATGCATATTTGTCTCCATACCACACTAGGAGCTCCATTCCGGGCTCTATTGTCTTGAAGGAACGATAATAGATTTCACCCCGGAACTGGAAGGCTACAAGATTCTGCTCATCTTCATTACGAGCACAGTTGACGAAGCGCAGCCAGTTACTGTGTTCTTCACCGCGAGCATCGACAACGTGAGTGACACGTCCATTTTCAATTATCTGAAAGTGACGAAAAAAGCTGTGGTTTAGTAGAAAGGATAAAGTTTAGTTAGAGAATGCGACACAAACAAACCCAAGCACACAACCCAGGTTGCATATTGAGATGGTACTCCAAGTGAAATGCGGGCGCATACGTGCTACTCATGGACGCTTCACGAGATGATTGCAATTCCTTTATTAACCTAACTGATGTATTGATATTGAGCCATCGCATCAACTCTAAGACCCTTCTTGGATGATAGTGTGGCCCTGTGGTTTTGTCTGTGAAGTTGTTTCGCCCAATTATCATGCTAGTTATACTTGTGTCACGACATCGCTCCTCGCAATGCTTTTATTCGCCTGTTTCATCGCCATCAAAAGCATTTACCAAAGTTGTACGTTATTTATTTTTGTCAGAAACAAGTATGTGGATGCTATAAATAAGGTAATGCTTACATCCCACATATAGCTCTGATCCATATTTGGTGTTAAATCTGCCACATCAATCTTATCACCCCAGTAGGGGCCGAACACAACATCTGCTTCGAATCTTTCTTTGGCAAAGATCCCTAGACCAGCATCTACAAACAAAGAAATCAGTAATCATGTTAATAAAGGGGGTAAGGTTCTAATGACTATGGTCCTGCGTTGGTGGGGGTACTACAAGATACTTGAAATTTAGTTTTAACAGTTGAGTTAATAGTAGTTGATAATGGGTCGGTGGAGGGCAGTACAAGTCAATTTGATTATATCAACAAGTTAGAACCAAATAAAAAAACCCAAAGAATTAGTCTTCTTTTGGCCTTAGTAGAGAATACCAGCTCTGTGTAAGTTAGCTGTACCATGCTGATTCGCTGAGATTATGGCATAGCTATATATGGTTGGCTCTTCCTGGCTGTTAATTTACTGATTTACTTTATTCTGTTTTTGGTATCTATCACTGTCACCATAGTGCGCTTTCTGTATCATTTATCATATCCTAAAGGTTCACACTGTTTAATTGAGCTCTTCTGGTATAACATTTTCCTTCCGTTGTGGGTAGGCAGAGTGAACAAAATTGAGCTAACCGCCTCCCGGTTAGCTCAGTGGATATAGCGCTGGACTGTTGTGCGGGAGGTCGAGGGTTCGAGCTCCGGCCGGACCAACACTCAAGGTCTTAAATTAATCGAGAAGACTTTGCTACCTTTCTATAACATCAAGAAATGGTTAGAGATTCTAGTCTTCTCGGATAGGGACGAATAAATGGAGGTCCCGTCTCTTGCAGGGTTGGGGTAGGAGACGTTAATTTCCCACACACGAGATTACTGTGTGATGGATGTCCTCCCCTGGGGTGGGATGGGTGGGAAGGTGAGATCGATAGACTGAAGCGGCTGCCAGAGGCGCCTGATATGCTGACGTCTGTTCTCAACCTTACACTGCACCCGTAATTCAGCCTCTGGGCTGCAAGTGGTCAGATAAAAACTATACTCTATATTCTAAATTTGAGCAATTACCAGCATACAAAAGTTTAATCCTTCTATCAAAGGAAAACACAAACAATAGAAACTACTCATTGGCCTGAAAATTCTAAATTTGGCAAGCAAATAACACAATTTCAAATGGTTCAAACATTTCTAACATTTCCAAACCTCTTTAACTGAATTCATAGGCAAGTCCTGTAGTTTTTATCAGTTCACTTTTTTGTCTTCTGAAAAACTAATGAAAGATGACAGCTAGAAAACATATCTAACCAGGAATACTTGAAATCTTCAAATCCATGCTACTTGGAATGGTTGACCTTGCCCTAGTCAACCCATCCTTTTCCATAACAGCTGTTGGTTCCTTTATCCATCTGAGGCCTCCATGAACTGAACAATCACCAATACGCAGTTTGTCACAGTGATTACAAACTAAAATGACCACCAAATTATGTCAGTTAAAATGTTTCAGAAATTGGACAAACACATGAACAACTATCCTAATTCTACCTGGAGATGAGAGAAAATGCATGAAACTATCTTTGTGTGAGTCTTCCCCCTCAATATGATTGCCTCACTGTCAAAGTCAAGATTTTAGTGAAGTGCCTAAGAATACACATGTATCTTTTTCCTCATGTTTTCTGAACAAAATGCGCCACTGAAATAAAGCAACTTACAAATGTACTCATCTTCCTCCACTTCAGGCTTTTTGTTGACATAATTTGTAGAAACCCGTAGTTTCTGAAATTACAAGATAAGAGTTCTCTTCATTTACAATTAAGATTATAAAAAAAAAAAACGGAGGGCAAAAGAGCAAAACTGAACAGAATGGGGGAAAACATCAAAAGTCGCCTGGTGGACACTAAACAGCCTTAAATGTAAGAAATTAATTGAGGGTAGCCAGTCAAAGAGTGTAAAACCAACTATGATATTCTCATGTGTAACAATAATAATAAGAAACATCATCCTGAAGGGTTTTGATGGCACCATCTCCATTAGTTCATGTCACTTTAAAACACATTGTGGGGGACAACATTTGTAGGAATTTTTTTGCAGATGCTCTCTCCCAATTTTGGAATTAAGGTCAGACCGCAACAACTTTGGCCAACTTTGACCACAACTGAGCCTTTGGTTTATCACCCTTATCCAAGAAGACTACGTCATCTAATCATTTGCAGATGTCATATCAAAGGCAGTACATTCTCCTCACTAACTTTAAGACCGTGAGTGTTGGTCAGGTCTGGGGCTGGAACCCTAAACCTCCCACGTGGCAGTGCAGCGCTCTAAAACCTGAGCTAACCAGGCTTAAAATATCCCACAGCAGCCATCCTACAGTATTTCCCTTCAGCAGTCATTGGTAAAAGAGAGTAACTAGTTTCCCAGCTTTTATTTTTTATCAGTAGGTATAACAGGTATTCAAGCAGGTCACCCACATGTCATAAAATTCATAAGTGGGGTAGCAGAAATGTGATCTTTCATTACCACAAAAGAAAACAGGAAGGAGTACATAAAAAGTAACTAAAGGAAACCCTGCGAGTAAATTATTATCGATAACTAATGGCTCTTACCTGCAAGGGAATAATAAATTCTTTAAGTTTTGGTTTGTTTTGCATGGTACCAGCATTGGAGGTTACAATAGCTTCCTTGACATCCTTGATGGAGATAAAATAACAAAACAATTGTTAAAAGCAACCTCATGTTTCAGGTATTTATTCAATAAGTCAGTCCAACAAGCATACTGTAACATTCCCCAACGTTGATATGCATGAAGAATGGAAGAGTAACCAACTTTTCCCCCTGACGTTATCACAATGGATCAATTAAATCATTTTTTAAGTTAACATTTTTTTGTACCTGTCCGTCCTTTTCTATTTTTGATAGCGTTAAATTGAATTTCAATGTAACTCCAGTTATAGAGTACTAAGCACTCAGCTATTCATGAGGTTTCCATTTAATGGAATAGAGTGTGAGTTGTTCGCAAAAAAATCATCCATTTTCAACCACCAATACAACAACTAAATGTAAGGAAACCCTAGGAAATTTCTTTCACTTAGCTAGAAAAGTTGGCTGGCTTAAGAGCTTTTAATTTTGTATGTTAAGCGATATGCTGCTACAGATAAGAATTTTAAAAGTAGCAAGGTAATAGGTGCTGTCCACCAAACTTAGCAACTTAAAAAAGCCACCAATTAATCCAGAGAATGGAACCTGGAACTGTGCATGTAAATTTTGTAATGGCAAGTCATTTGCAGAAGGTTCAACAAAACTTAAAAGGCCCCTCTTGATAGCACCCAAAAACAGGTTTATGTCACAAGTCATTAAAACCATTATGGGTTTACAGATGCTTGCTGAGAAACAATTTATGCAACACTGCCAAAGCTAACATTTTGAACAGAAATTTGTGTTTCCAGAATATATTTCTGACTTGATAGACACAAGTACACAAGTTACCTCACAAGAAATAATGTCTACAAATTGATCTTCATTGCCATTCACTTCCAGTTTAACATCAGAATTGATCTGAAACACCTAAGAAATAGAAGAGAGTACAATTAGCTTGTTAACAAACCCTTGTCACATCTATCCACATGGCAGCCACAAAAATACTGACTTAAAATCTGCCTATGTCGGGCTCGAAACTAATTCTTCAACCTACTAGCCAAGTGGCTAGTGACAACTTAGATGTTACAACAATTTCAGTCCGTTTACTTGCCAAACTTGCTAGTGGAAACAAAAAACCAGTAGCCAAAACTGAACTTCTACTAGTCAGGGTTCTTGCATTTTTTAAGGAACCCAATTCAAGGACTTCCAAAGACTTTTTAGGTCATTTTCAAGGACCTTAGCTCTCAAATTAAAGGACCTTCTGAATTAAATTAAATAGGAGCTAACACAAATAAAAAACATTGTGTGCAGGACTGGCCAAAAAGTCCAATGAGCATGACTTCAAACATGCCATGCACATCAGAGCGCTCATGTACTAGGTAACCAAGGTTATTTTCAATACACCAATCAGGCACAAAATATATATAAATTGTGTGTCAAACATCATATTCAGACATGGGATTTGAAAGGAAAACTCGTTTTCGATTTGTGCTAGAAACTTACACTTTCAACACTGAAAACAAAAGACACTTCGATTTTGATTCATCTGCACTTATTTTCAAGGATTTTTCAGAAATTTTCAAGGACCTGAGTCTAAATTCAAGAGTTTTCAAGTACTTGAAAACAAAAAAATTAATTCAAGGACTTTCAAAGAGCATGGGAACCCTGAGTAGTCTGTGGCTAGTTGGCTCTGTTAGTGTCGAGCCCTGTATGTGTGATTGCCCACCTGGTTGCCTTGTGAACTTTAATACGTCTTAAAACATAATCTCTTATGAACTTTTCTAAAGTAAAACACACTCTCACCTCACTAAGGATGGAATTAGTTTGAGTCATAATATCATCATTAGCTTTGGGTTTCATATCAAAAGCCATCTCCTGATCCTGTGAAATATAACAATAGTATGACAACACTTTAACTGTTGAGATCATTTCACTGTTCTTGTTGCTCTGATTTAATTGTTGCCTCAAATAACTTAAAATGTTACCTCACAAGAAACAATATCAATAACTATTTCTCTTTTTTCCTTGTCTTCTTCCGTACTGCCATCTTGAAGTTTGATGATACAGGCAATTTCAGAAACCTGAAATTTTGAGAAATGAAGTTTTAAGAATTTAAATGGCTAACTCATTTTAGAACATTCAGCTATTTTAGCCAGGGTTCTCAATAAATCAGGAAGCAGGTGGCTAACTGCATGGGGTAAGCAGCTGCCAATTTGAGAGCTCCTTCTTAAGGTCTTGAGCATGCTCTTCCCAAAACATAAATGACTGAAGAGGTTCTAGAATGCTCTTTCATGCATTCTTTGGAAGTATCCGCAATGCAATAAGGTGAATGGTTGATTGGGTAAACACACATTGGGTAGAGATTGGAAGAGTGCTTGACCAGAGAAAAAGTGTACATAAAAAGATTGTTTTTGTGGAATGTGACAACGGCTTTCAAGAAAGTTTTCTGTTCAAGGAAATTTTTGTAGCAGTGACTTGTGTTATTTTTCGTTGCAATTTACCTTTCACACACTAATTTAACCACTAGGCAGCTCAGAAATAAAGGCAGCCAGCTTTTTAGCTAGCATCAAGCACTTAACAAGAACCCTATTTATCAGCTATGCTTCAAAAGCAAGACAATAACAGTTTTACCTCACAATGGGCAATCATTAATTCCTCCCCATTTTTTTCTTGAGGCTCCACACAATTGCTTTCTTTGACGTTCTGTTAGTTTTTAAAGGAATTTAAGTGTCAAAATGAGGTCTCATTTTTTCATCCTTTTCTTGCAAAGGTTTAGCACCACATAAGTTGTTTCTGAATTAAAAAGACCTTAATTTGTGGTGGCACTTCGAGTCCCTTGCTATAAGTTGCATTGCTCTTACACAAGCAAACTTTGTTTCACAGTGAGGCTAGACATGTATAAACAAAGCTTTTATCCTCATGGACAACATGCATGGCAACTCTCAGATAAAGTTCAAAACATACTGTACAAGTAACTGACAAAATACCAAACAGTTAAGCTACCTTTAACATTCTTGTATAATTTTCTTTTGTTTGTTTCTCTGACAGGTCAATTTTACTAAGCCCAATCAAACTGACTACTGTTGCATTATTACATTATCCTTTTTGTCTTTTGTTTGTTTCTCTGACAGGTCAATTTTACTAAGCCCAATCAAATTGACTACTGTTGCATTATTACATTATCCTTTTCTCAGGCCTATTGGGCTTTTCCCTGGAAAATCAGAGTTTAGCAGTAATTGACCTGTGAAAAATGTTTCTATAATCAACGCAGTAACAGAATTATAAAAAAATACACTGACCTCTGTTGTCTCATGAACAATTTCTTTCTCAAATAGACAAGTTAACTTGGGTAGAACATCAGGTTCTTTCAACAACTGCCCTGTGCTACAATGCACAGGCATCTGGGAAAACATCATCAGAGCATTGTCAATTGAGCTTTTGAGAAGCCCTACACTGGTAAATTTGGATGGGAAAGACAGCTATGAAAATGTATTTTTTTTGTGCCACCACTCTTTTGGGACTCATCTTTTCAGAGGACACTGCTACTCAACAAACATAAACCTTGGTCTCAATGGAAAAGATATTTCTATAAGTTTTGTACCCTTTAAATTCATCAAGAGGACACCTTTACTTGAGGAAAACTTCAACTGATTGCAGGTTCCATTGAATAACTTTCATCATAAATTACAGTCAAACCTACATTATCAGCCACCTTTCCATGATGGCTGCCTCTAAAGAGCTACTTTTTTGTCCTAACAGATGGGTGATAAATCCCCCATTGTTATTAATTCAAACTTCTCTACCAGGACAACCTCTGCTCAACACCAATGACATCCAAAAATAATTTTTTCTTAGAACACCAATGTTTGGGTTATCTGTTGATACTGGTAATTGTATCGTGATCCTTTTATTTCAGATATCTTTTAAACAAAAATTTTATATCCTTTAAAAAATGTTCTATTTTACCACCCAATCCCCATAACAGGGCCCCATTTAAGCTAGTTATCTGCTAAACTGGGCTACCCTGTATAAATATTCGTAAATACATACATAGTTTACATACATGTAACAGTCATCTCTCTACAAACTTCCACTATCTCCCCCAGGTTGGTTGCTGTTAGGAGGTTTAACCACTTTTAAAATGATAGGGATTCAGCATTCAAGAATTGAAAGGTTCACCCCTTAAACTTCCATAAGTGACCAGGACATAATTTCTCCTTACAATATCAATATGATATCAAGCAGACAAGTGGTGAGAATAAAGAAAAATTTCAATTAGAGAATTATTGGTTGATCCAATACCAAATTCTCGGAGCTAACATCATAAGAATTGTATGGCAGACAGTAAGGAGAGTACCCAGTGAGATCTCGGCAGTGAAAGGAATAGAAATCAAGACTTGGGGTAGATAAAAGGTTGTACACTCAAAGTATACAGTGCATTCACAGTCGGCATTAATGGACACAATATGATAGTCAAGTATTTTGAAAACGAAGAAAAACATTACAGTGTGTCTTAAAACAACATTGAACTTGCTCTTTTTGACCTATCAAATTCATGCATTTTGGCACTTAGAGAAAAGCAAAGCTGGAATTCATATTCATTTTAAAAAATGATAGTTATGTAATGGTGATATTACACCCCCAGATATCCCCTCACGTTAGCTGCTGCAAGAATTTACCGAATCATTAAAAACTGGTTCATAAAATCAATGGGTTCGCAGACTCAATTCTCCAAAATTTCGTACTTTGCAAATTATCATAATATAAGGAACACTCCAGGCAGGTATAGAAAAAAAAATTTGTATTTATTTCCGTATAATCCCATGCGCCATTACGCATACAATTCTTGGATAAAAGAAAGCAGAGGCAAAACATCAGATTGCCTTTGGGATTATTGCCTTTTTTTAGTATGGGGTTATACGGAAATCTTTCCGAGAAATCACCGCAAGTTCAAGCTTAAAAAAACCATTTAAAGTTATTAGCCTTAGCTTTAACTATGCACAACCGACACGTGAATGAAATAATTACATTCCTAAACCAAACAAACATATCCAAGGCATTAACCTCTATATCAGTTCAGGCATAAAAGTTAAGCTCTAGCGATAACTTATACTATAACATTCAAAGTTGATCCATACGTAGGAAACAAAAGACGTACGGGCAAGGTCAATTGAAGAGCAGAAATCAATTACAATAACTAGCTATCCGTTCAATACTTGGTATCGCGAGCTATTCACCGCCAAAATCAAATCATCGAACGTGGCAGATTTTCAAACAAGAAAAATCCCAGGAAAATACTGAGGGAAAGAAATATCTTATCGCACCTCGAGTTTTCGAACAAGCGAGGTTTAACTCTCCTAGCACATGGGGTGATATTCCCGATCGCTCTCGCATCGTGTATCGAAGACTGGGTAATCTACATGTCCCTAATAACATATACTGCATGCTTGAGCGTGCAAATCACTCATTAGGGCTAAAAAAATGACCGGGAGACGTTCAGAATGAAAAAAGAAATGCTCACCTGACTCAGAACATACGCCATCACATTATGTGGTCGGCAACCGAAGAGGATTGATCGAAGACGGCGCGAAAGTAAGCGCGCTGCTCAGCTTCCCAGATCCCAGAATTCAGTATTTCCCGCGCTTTACTTTCCTCCTTGCGTGTAGTATGTCATTTGGGATTGGGGATGTCACGCAACGTTAAAAACAACAACAAGATGAAAGACATTAGTTTACGAGTTCGTTACAGCAGTACTTGAGATGACGACTGAGAAGCTACACTATAGGATACTATAATGAGCCAGAGGAAGTCAGTCTGATCAAGAATTTCCTCCTTGGATTTCTTGAATTACTTCTCCTGCAGCGAGGATTGTGACTCAGTCCTAAATTCTCAGATTACCTTTCAAATCCTTGTCACGCAAACTACCTTTGATTTGCTGAAAGTTGCATAAATTCCTGGGACCGATCGTGGTTCGATACATCTGGAGGCTGAAAATAAATGAAAATCAAAATGGACAGGATTTAGCAGCTCATCAATAGGTGGGCTTTGATGTACAGCGTGAGTCCACTAATTTCTTGTCAAGTTGGAACTTGGAGTGTTGGTTTTGCAAGAGTGAAAAACTCGAAAACTAGGCAAAAAATCCGCCAAGGAATCTCCTGTATCTGCTAAACATAACCACCGGAATCTACGGCCATTGGTTCTGAAGGCAAAGGTTAAATTACTTTTAATAGACTTCCGTCTTTTACTATTGACAGTAATTCTATACAAACAAGTAGAATTTACGAAATCTCTTGGAGTATCTACTACAGATGAAAATATCGAAAATATGAGTACATATCGAACATATTTCCGAAAAAAATTGCCTCCGGCATTGGCATCTTGAAGAGAAGTAGATCTTTGGTTCCTTTTGAAACGCTCCCATGCATCTACAATGCTTTAGTTCAACCTCATTTCGATTACTGTAGTGTCGTATGGGGAATTGCAATAAATCTCTTTCCATTTAACTACAAAAACTACAGAATCGCGTTGCGCGTATTTTGACCTCTTCTTCATATGATGTCACTGCAGATGATCTCTTTGTTGGCGTGACTAGGCTGGCAAAAATCAATCTTCAACGAGAATTAAAAACAGCCACTATGGTCTACTAATCTCTTAATGGTCTCTCCCCAGATAATTTGAAATCAATGTTTCCTGATCGGAGTGCAATGTCTACCTATTCTCTTGGGGCAAACTAGCTGTTTCAATCCCCCGTACCAATTTTCTAAAAAACAGTTTCAGCTGTAATGGTGCGGTGATGTGGAACAGCTTACTTACCAATCTGCGGCAAGCATAAACTCTTGCTAGTTCTAAATCCGGCTGCAGGGGTTTCCTTTTTGATAATAAATAAGTTAATTAATCATACGGCATTCATGGAAAGCAGGCACTTCGTTATTGTTTATTTTGTTGTTATTAGATTTAATTAGTAGTAGATTAGTATCTTTATTACGTCCATTTGAAATCACTGGTTGTCCCTGTAATCTGATTGCCTCTAATTGGTGCGATTTATTCACAGTCGCACCATTTTTTGCTCTAAATCGTACCATTTTACGCTTGACTGAGTTTTTGACACATGACGTCAGTCTTTCTGTTTTGCATACAAAATAAAATGTAAGAGCGTTTCCGGTTCCCCTTATTATTTAAAAACCGGCTCAGTACTGCATCAGTAAAATATTTGAATTGACCAAGTCCTGTATTTGGGCGATTTCAAAATAGATGTAATAAAGTGGTAATTGAACCTCGTGTCGTGCAATTTTGGTCTGAAATCATACTTGTGGTTTTAAATCGAACTCGAGCTGCGCGCTTGTTCGATTTTGAAATCACGCGTATGATTTCTGCCCAAATTGCACTCCACTCAGTTCAATTACCATTATTAACAATGTAATTAACGCAATTTTAGTAATTACTTTAAGTCCTGATGTTTTACCCGTGTATAAATAGTTAAATAGATAAATAAATAAATAATGAATAGAGGCAAGCGCTATCACCATTGCAGTATTCAGTCCCGCTGCCGAATATCATCCTAAGCCTTTGTTCTTGGAAGGAGGTCCCATAAAAAATTATTATCAAATCCGGGAGCAGTTAAATTAAGTTCAGATGTGCTCTCTCATGATGTGTTTGCATAGCGCGGCAGAAAAAATGGTCGCCGCCAAATCCAACACTGAGTTTCAAACACCATCGAAAAACATTATGCAATCAACAATATGGTGCTTTCTGATTCAGAAAAGACAACACATGGCGTGGGCGACCGTTGGGTTGAGACGTAGATGAATGCCTCTTTGGTTACCACGGAGATTTTAAAGTATCTCAAAACCGCCCTCTAAGTGGTCATTCTCTCCTCAACTGAAACACTCTAACCAGCAACACCCACTTGTGTCACCCAAGAAAGTTGTGGATTTTTAATCAAATGAGATATACGGCGAAATAGCCACTTTAGCTTCGTTGGGACAGCAGCCCACTAATTTGATCAGCAGAGCCAAACCTTTCTGGAAATTTAACATAAAAAGACTGATATCGTCATTTTGAAACGTTTTTTCGATTAAAACTGATTGTTTCCTTTTTTGTTTATCCTCTCACCGGAAGCTTATCAGTTTCTCATGACTTGGTGTCCTTGAGCTGGTTTCTTGGCGTGCGTTAAAATGTACTCCAAGTGTGGTTCATTGAACATTCAGGTTTTCGCTTTGCCGCCCATGCAACTTGTGCTTAAAGTGCACCTAACCCCTAATTTTTTTCCTTTAAAAAAATCTTCATGCCTTGGTGAGTATCTCTTCGAAAAAATTTTTGGATTTGGTCGAATCCTTAAATTTTTGTGCCCCGTTGAAGTACCGAAAATCGCATTAAAATCACCGCCATTTTGACTCACGACCGCGACGTCACTTCGAGAACCCAACAATCTGTATTTCGCGCCATTTGCACAGTTCACTGGTTATGTTTGGAAGGTTAGATCAATGTTGGTTGCAAATATGCTGCAGAATGAATCTAGTGCTAGAAAGGCTTTCGCAGGTCGACGACTGTCTGAGAATTCCTTGAGCGTCTTCTCGAAATGACGTCACAAGTCTACACTGCACAGATGCCATTTACGCGGTCGTGGTCCATTCGGATCTCGACTTCAACAGGGCATAAAAAAATGAGGATTTAACCAAATCCAACATTTTTTTCGAAGAAATACTCACCAAAGCAGGAAGATTTTTTTAAGAAAAAAAAAATTTAGGGGTTATGTACACTCAAATCCGGCATGGTACTCTTACCCTGACTTTGATATCTCTTCTATATATAAGCGGATTCATGCTGACGTCATTGTTTACATTTTTGCTCATTTGCATACGACTTTACGGAAAGAAGGAAGCATGTTAGATACAAATTGACTTCAGGCAACTAAAGAGCTAGAAAACCTTAGTACATGGTGAAATTTTTAGCTCTTTAGGTGTAATATTCAGGGAGAAATAGTCCATCAAAAACTGCAAAATTTCTGGGTGGCAAATGCGCAAATGAGCTCATACATTCTATGTAAAATTTGGAGTTTTTAAACCCGTGTTGCACAAAAAGTGTTCAAGGCATCAGGCTCGTATTCATTGGCCGAGTTATTCGTACTTTGATCTTTCGATATTCAGAACTGATTTATTTTTAGCTCCATCAGAAACTGAATTGCTTATGCTAATGAGGCAAATATTGTAAACAAGGATTCCTCTATACAGCGCATTGATTGGTAGCTTCGGATCCAGCGCTATAAGAGAGCTCTATACTATGATTTCATGGTACTCCGCACTTTTCAGGAGTAAAACTGCGTGAAAGAATTTGAAGCGAAATCTTCTAAAGACAGTTGGTGCACGACCACAGAAGTTCGCAATTTCGAAACGAGAGGGAAGATAGTTTCGCAGTAATGGATGCCTGTCTCAAGACTGCATTAACCGAGACTTGCCTCAAACCATCCTTTACGTTTCCTACAAACGCTTCGCTTATTCGAGCAGCTGTTTCGCACCAAAACTAGCTAAAAGCTGTTTACTGCAGTTATCGGTTGAGCGACGAGCGGAAAGTTTGGTGACGGGGTTTTGACCGGGGTTACCACGGGCAAGCTTCCAAGATTCCAATGAGAACCGAATCTCAAGAGCCGTGGGTCGCCCACCAAAAGAAGTCAAAACGACACGTAGCCACTAGAAAAGGAGCCAGTTTCCCAAGACAGGTCTTAACAACTTATTTTATTTCTATTAAATGTTTCTATATTCTACTGTTGTAAATTGTCACTGAAAAATCCCCATGGGGAGTTATCAATAGAGCATTGTATTTAAGACAACAACACGATTTCAACGTCAAAACGTGGTCGCCAAACTTCCATCACGCGTCACTCAACTGGAAACTGTTGCTGGTAATTGCTCTTGGCCCAAATGAATACCATGGTTGTAATCTGTTTGTTTCTTCAACAACGCAAATCAGAGTCCTCTTTCAGGCTGTGACTCCAAAGCGCTAGCATAATCACAAGGCACTTAGCATTTGTCAAAAGTAAATTCTCAATTGCTTCCACCATTCTGTTGGAGATGTTAGGCTAGTGGTAAGCACTAATGAATAAAGGCTGATAGTTTCTAAAGAAACTGTTTGGGGCTGCGTCGGTGGGGGTAACGAAATAATTTGAATGTATCAACAAAGTTGAAATAGCAAATAGGCCACCGTTACGATTATAAAAGCTGACGTTTCGAGCGTTAGCCTTTCGTCGAAGCGAATAGGGCAATTGTGGGTTGTGTGTGCTTTTAAAGGCAGAAAAAGGAGCTAAGAGGTAAAGAAAAAGGTAGCTCCTTTTTCTGCCTTTAAAAGCACACACAACCCACAATTCCCCTATTCGCTCCGACGAATGGCTAACGCTCGAAACGTCAGCTTTTATAATCGTAACGGCGGCCAATTTACCATTTCAACTTTGTTGATGTATTCAAATTATAAAGTGGTAAGCACTGTTGGCTGGCCGGGTTCCTTTAGTCTCTAAGTAGCATCTATAACACAAAGACCAGACATTTCTGATACGTTTATTATGTACAATGCATGTTTGAAAATAAGTTAGGTTTTGAACTGAAGAACACATCGTAAAACAAGTCTTAAGCGAAACTGTCCATGGCTTCCGACGGTAATTTTCTCGAGCCAAAAAGCATTCTTGTTTTTTCTCTATGTCTGTTCCTCTTGACCAATTCTTCTTGTTCTAGTTTCCCCAGTCCAATGCTTTAACGAACTCTTCCTCTGAGAACTGAAGAAGTTTGGCCGCATCTATGTGCATCTAGGAAGCAACCAAACGGATTTAGTTCTATCTAACGGACAGACACCGCAAGACATCTAAGGTGGCAACAAATCGTTGGAGTTTTTCTCCTTTAGAACCGTAAGGTACTCAGAAGCGCACATCCCACTAAAAAACGGTAACTAAAAGGTGGAGAAAGGATCTTTTTTTAATGAAAATAAATTCATTGTCATCTAATTCCAACGAATTAACCCACCTTTTGTCGTTTTAGAACATCAATAAGCTTCATTTGTTTCTTGAAGCCAGCCATCAATTCGTTCTTCTGTTTCTCAAGGCGTTTGTTTTCCGCCAACAGTTGGTCGATGCGTTTCCTATCCTGCTCACCAGAGTCCTGTATTTAGAAAAACAAAACAAAGAAATAAATGAAAACTTTCCACAAAGTAACCAAGGGCGAGAACTTGGACATTTATATCCACTTATTGTGTGTGGTGAGTTAGTAACTGTCACGTGAAGCTCACCATAAATCAAAACAGTCACACACATTATCGAGAAAACGATTGATCCAGTGCATGATACAACTCACCTTTGACTGACTCTTGGCTTTTTGTAGAGCAGTCCTGTACTTCTCTGCTTCTTCGAGGGCACGATTCAATCTGAAATCAATACGGTATTAGCTCATTTTAAAATGAAATAACATCTGAGATAGATTTTGGGCCGGATTTTTAACAAAGTTTATCCAGCAGTAATACTTTCTACTTTTACTTTGTCTTCAACTTAACCTGACGTTTCATCTCGACGTTGATTTTTGTCAACTGTGTTTTGAAAGAAAGCTTGACCGGCGCTAACATTTGAGAATGTTGGCAGTTAAAATGAAATCTCTAGTGTACTAAATGAATAAAAACCCGGCGAGTTTAGTTAGACTTCATTTAAGTGACCAACTCTTCGAGATTACGCTTATCATTCAGCATCACGCAAAAATCTCGTAACGTTTTGAGGGAGTGCTGTAGGACACAACATACATTTACCCTTACCTTACTTCGGTGACATTTTTATTTGAAGCTGCCTGCTTTTGTTCTCTCTGTATTGAGTCCAGATCCTATACATACGAAATGACAGGTCTGACTAGAATAACATCATTGAATAAATTCTCGCATTCTGATTGGTTAACGAAGCGAGGTATTTAGCGTGGAATTGTGAGTTGAAAACGAGGCTAAGTAATATTGTTTCGCATCTACGTAAACATAACAATTTTAAGTAATGCAGTTTCCTTTTTTTTCGCATTTTTATTCAGTTATGCGATTCAAGGAAAATCCATGACTTCACTCGTGAATTACGCATTAAATTGCACTTGAAAACCGATATCGCGAAGCGATGAGTGCGATATCGGTTTTCAAGTGCAATTTAATGCGGAATTCCCTCGTCAAGTATTGAATTTTCCTATGAAATCAGAAACCTAATACACCAAGCCATCACAAAAAGGAGGCACGCAGTCACGCAGCAAGTCTAAATAAAACGTACACCGGCTTGAAGATTCCCGTAACTTGAACCCTCCAGAATTGAACTGAAAGGCTTAGAGGTGTCAGGAAAGACTGAATAAAAAAATGACCCAACCTAAAGCAAAATACTGACAGAAGATGAAATTCAATGCAATTCAGTGTACTTTCACTGGAAAAAGTGAAAAACCTTCCGCAAGTCTTATGTAATTCCACAATCAGACAAAAATACATAACTGCTTCAAAACAGTTCTGAGTTTTACCCCAGAATTTTTCTGGAGTTGACTTATTTAGGAAATGACCTGGACAAAGAGTGATCTTTGGTTTGAGTTATCAAAAAATACTATTCAGGTTTCCAGTCACCCAAAGAATAATAGCAGGTAATGCTTGACAGAAACGTTGGGAAATCTATTTTGGTTCGATTTTGTACGAGGTTGGAGTAAGCAAGGAGTAGACTGTACCTACATGGAATTCTACAGGCCCTCTCCCAATATTATATCGTGAATTCATTATGCAACCTGCAACTGGGTATATTGAGCCATCATAGCAATGTTAGATACGACAGCCACATTTTCCTCTGTCAATCAGTAATGCTTATCCAGACCACATGAAAGTTATTGGTTACCTTTCTTAAAGACACCATTTGTTGCTCAAGCCCATCATTCTTGTGTTTGCAGTCATCATAAAGCTTTTTGTACTTGTCAATTTGTGACTATAGAGGCAGAATGACACTCTTTTTTTTTGTTTGTTACTGATAACACTATTAAACAACAACAAACATATGAAACATATGTGTGAACTGCGGTTATGAGACGTATATGAGAACGATCCTTGTTACTATTCTATGGATTGTAAAAGGCAGAAACTAAGCATACATAAGTACATGTGGCCAATCAAAACATTTGGAGCCTAGTTAGGGGCAGGGCTTGACACTAACTTTTCAACTTACTAGCCATATTAGATGTTTTTAGATGTTACGACAATTTCATATTGTTTACTAGCCAAACTGGCTGGTGTAAATTGAAAACCACTACCCAAAACTGAATTTCTACTAGTCTGTGGCTAGTGGGCTATCATTAGTGTTAAGCCCTGTAGGAGGAAAAATATAACCCAAAACGTCACTCCAAAAATCCTGATACTTATTGTATTTATTGTCTGCCATGTATTTCTTAAACTGTTACCTGTAGTTTTGTTTGAGTCTAGTGTTCAGTGAAAGAATATCAACAAATTACTCTCATCACCCTATAGCTAACCGATCCAATTATGTTGCAAGGAAAAAAGCAAGTCAATTAACAAAGTGGTAAACACCACACCGTACACTATTGAGTTATGGATGCATGCGGGAGGTTGCTAAGCACGAAAGAAGCATGCTTTGCAACTCTAGCTTCTTGAGTGCTTAGCAAACCTCCCAAGTGCATCCGTAACTCACTAGTGTACGCTGTGGTGTTTACCATTTGTTTTATAACATAACATTGATACATTGTAGCTAAAGAGTTCCCTTTTATTTAACAAATCTTACGCGACCAGAAAAAACAAGCGCGCGCAAAAAAAATAGTCTTTGCAAATGGGGGACACAAAATTGACCAATCAGAGTTCGCGCTTTACTTTGGTTATGTTATAATCTCTCTTAGAAATGAAAAGGATAAACAGTCTTCATTACTGGGCTGCACTTTGACATTCAAATATGTAAGTAAGGAGGGGCACATGAACAACAAGGATGAATTTGAGATAAAATGTTACCCTACATGTAATCAGAGGTTTAGGATCATAATGGTATAGCTGCCACAGTGATAGTAGCTACAAACCTGTAATCCCTGATTTGTTTTTTGCAATCTGCCCTGTTCCTCAGTCAATTCTTTCACCTTTTTATCTATAGCTGATTTTTTTTCATCCTAAAAGACACAGATATAAATTTAACTTTCATATGTCTGGGAGACTCACTCATAAAGTGGGGTGTTTGCAGCAATTTCAAGGCAAAAACTACTTACAACATTCCCAATGCTCATAATTTCCCACCTTTTATCATAAGGTTTGAGGCAATTGTGCTCTTTGTATGATAAAAAGATGCAGATGCACGGCAAATTCAATCTTTTACATCACTGAGAAACTCACTCATTAAGTAAGGTGAGCACAGAGATTTCTAGCTTTAAACAATTATTTGAAACTATTCCTAATGTTTGTCATTCCTCACTTTTTCAATATCAGTTTTGAGGCATTTGCATATTTTGCATGATAAAGAGTAAACCTGAACTATTTACCTGGGGTGCATGTGTATCATTGGTGAGCCAGTGTTAAGCATTTACTGCAATATATTTGGCTACCATTTTGGACACTTAGTGCAGAGTAAGGTTGGGGAGAGAAGTAGAATTGCTACAGCAAGGGTGGACTAGAGTCCCAAGGGACCCCTCCCCTTTCTCTGCTTGGTGGGTGTCTACCCACCTGTATTATCAATTAGCACATTGTAATGTAGTAAGATGCCTTTACCAAAACCTATCCAAACATCTCTAAATAATACTGGATACTATCTGTATATTTTACCTTTTTATTACATTCCTCTACTACCCTGTCAAGTTCTTCTTGCATAACTCTCAGTTTTGCCTTGAGGAACCTGATTGTAGCTTCTACAATTGCAAAAAAAATGTATCAATATTATTAAATAGAGTATAATGATCCAGTGGCAACAGATTAATCTTGTAACACTATTTATAACATACATCTTAACTCAGCTCACAGAGAATGACTTCTAGGCCCTTACCTACCACATCGGTGTCCATGTAAAAAGTCTCTGGTTCCATTATGTCAACTAAATTGAAATATGCTACAGTGCTGTAATGTAATTACACAGTAGGCCATTTTACATCTACACTAAAGGGAAGAGGGAGAGTCTCAGCAGTTGTCAAAGAAGCCCCTATGCAGCTTTTAAACTGCTAAAACCAGTTACTGTCAGTAGTCAAAATACCCCCAAAAACTAATTTAAAACAACTATTGATCACTTATGATCGCTTGATTTCCCAACCCAAAACATTGTGTCAAAAATTCTTTCTCTTTGGCCATCGTAGCTTGATAAGAAATAGCACACAAACTGCAGTTACAAACATGACAGTAAAACGCATGTTGGGAAATAAGATTAGTTAACTTTACTTGACGTTTCGTATGTTTTGACATACATCTTCAGAAGTGACAATTAATAATACATGTGACGACTAAGTTTAAATTTAAGATAAGTAACTAATTAACGTAACAATGAACAAAAGGGAAAATTTTGCATATACAAAGATGCAAACTAATACAGATAAAGCTTATTGCTGCTTTGATCTCCCCCCCCCACTACTTGAAAAGAAATTTCATGATGGCTCATTTTTTAATGCTCTGCATGAAAAGACAACCCAGTCATATTATAATAATAATACATAAATAAATCTCAGTTCTACTCCATGCAAGGTGAACACATGTTACCTGAACCCATCTCCTCAGCACCAACTGGCAAAACACTGTCATCAGTTGTAGTTGTTGTATAATTATAGTCTTGGGCTTCATCTTCCAGTGTGCTGATTGTGTTTGCTAGAGTTATCCTATCCTGAAGCATATCTATTGGGTCATCAGAGGGTACAGGAGTGTGAGTTACACTTCCAGGTGCTGATGATATTTTAGATTTTGGCCTAAGGTAGAGATAGGAAAAAAATTAGTGATAGCTAACCTTCAATATAAAATATACTGTAATTCCAACTTAATATACCATTAACATTACATTCATTACATCATTGTGCAATCTTGTGAATTGTACCAAAACACCTGTAGCTGCAAAATATGAACATTCTACAGCATACAAATTGGTAGTTTTCTCCCAATCCTCACATTACATCAAACAAATTTCAAACTATTGTGAATTTAGGTGTTCTGTTCATTCAGAACCATACTAGCCAAGCTAAAAATAAGGTATCAAAACTTTGTCTCCAACTTCATAACCAAATTTCTGGCTGATACCATTAAAAAACTGATTGTCAAGCATAAAGTGAACATACTAAAAATCTTCATTTTTTTTAATATAATTATCATTTAGTTGCATGGATGCATGCTAACTCAGCTAGATGGCACTATTTTGAATTTGGAACAGCAGTGCTCTATGCATGGCCAGATGGTAAAACTGCAAAATTAATAAAACTACAAATTCAAACTGCTACATCAGCTACAGAGAAAAATATTGACCCATTTGATGTCAGGTCAAAATGTTCAAAAAACAGAAAATTGTTCCGCTATCAAGTGATAGCACTTTCAACCAGAAGTCATTGACCATACATTAATAAAACATTTAACCATGTAAATGTGCAGATGTTCAATGTAAGCCAAATATAAAGGTTTACTTTCTTTTCTTTGTTCTTGAGGTAGGTCTACTTCCTTGTTTGCCAGCTGTACTGCTCACAGGCCTTGTCTGTGTTGTAGTTATACTACTGCCCTCGGGTTTCTGAAAAAAAATTCAAACAACTATTAATTAAACAAGCTTCAGAAAAAAAATTTGTGACATCAATCAGTGGTAAACACATAAAATGATTATTACTTGCAAGCTCACAAAAAGATACCTGTTTGAAGGCTGATGATGAAGGTCTATCTACATTTGAAAAGTCCATTGAGGGAAGAAGGTCTCTGAAAAGGAAAAACATAATTCAGTGTTCACCAGAAGAACCAGCAGCTACAGTTTTCAATCGCTACTTGTGTCTGAAGCACTGGCTACAAGACATAACAGCGATATGGCTGTATTGATGTAATCAAATTTTAATTTTTCCTTTTTTTTCTTCTTTTCTTTTTTGTATACACCCAAATGTTTTGAACAGAACTGGAGGGACAATAATATTATTATAAGTAACAATGAGGGAATTGATGCTAGAGAAATAAATGCTCATGCCGAATGGGTAATCACTTCTTTCTCGCAAACTTCTGAAAACATCTCCAGAGAACATTGATCATTGTCAAGGCTGTGCTCTAAGGAAAATTGAATGGAGCCCAGTGCTCTGAAACTGTGAAATCCAGGGTGCCCAGCATATGCTTTGTATGAAAAAAACTAAAATTCCAGAGTCACCCAAGAGCAAAAGTAAGGCACCAGGGGCCACAGAGGGCTGCTAGACCATAGCCTTGATTGTTTTCATAAACATACACTGAATCCCAAGTCAAAAACAGCAAATAGCATTTAAGCTAGACAGTGATACATAACACAAATTTTCAAGTGACAGACTGATCTATGATAGTTACATGACAAAACAATCATGTAACTTGAAAACTACCATTTAATCAAATCAGTTAGAGAACAAAAATTGCACCTCTAGCAGATTACTCTGCTACCTATCTCAGCTGAGCTATGAAGCCACAAGTTGGTGAAACAGCAAAAGCTAGTAAGTTCTTTATTCCTCATGAAAGAATCTAATTTACATGTAACAACTAAAGTATAAATGTGAAAATATTTTTGACCTTTGGATGGGATAAGAAGTGGTGAATTGATTTTTAAAGACAAACTGTGGTATCTAAGTCATTTTAGGAAATGCACTCTGAAAAATTTAGGCTTAGGGATCATGTATTTTTAACACTGTATCTGATATACTTACTTCAGGTCTTCTGATAATTCCACTTCTGATGCGGTAGGTCTGGCAAGAAGCTCATCTTGGTCATGCTGGCACAAATCCATAAAATATTGTCATCAAATGCCAATTCCAACTATCTCTTCAACTAATCCTCATCAAATGGGGGTGAAATGTTATTTGGGTTTTAGAATGGTTACACCCATGCGAGATTGGGGAAAAAGGAGGAGAAGTACCACGCAGGACCAAATCTGCTTTGCCAGCTTGTCAGTTTAGTGTTCAAAGGTGCATGGAGGGGGACTATGGTTTGGTTACCATGGTGACCTCCTTGTTGCCTAGGAGCTGGCATCCTCTTTCTCTACCCCCCAAGCACTTGCATGTACCCTGAAATACTGATTGTTTTAAACTAAAATTATTATCTTAGGGGCTCTGTAATTTGAGTAAAGGAAAAGGTCTCTTCTGGCATTTTTTAATCGCGAATTACTTTTTGGGCACTTTTCTTTTCTTTGATTGGAAAGCTAGGCTTACTATACTTTTCTGATAAAATTCTTTAATTTTCTATTCCATCCTTCAAAAAAACAAAGGGATCAAGAGGGATGAAGCCAGACTTGGTCATTAAGAAAATGAAATTGTCAGAGTGCATGGAGATTCAATCAAAATGTCACCTGTAATGACCTATAAACAATATAGCTCCAACACAACAAGGATCCCCAATCTTGATTCAGATTATAGATTTCATATCACCTTGATTATTACAATGGATTCAGGGTCAAAATAACTTGAGCATTGAATTTGTTTTGTTTTTACCTTCACCTAAGGTGATTCCTCTATGTTGCACTGATGCAAATTATGACCTTGAAAGCAATGACTTGAGAAACATTAAGGAAAAGTGTTCCTTATGCTTGAGACCTTGTACTTATCAGGTTTTTTCAAGTGTTACTTCCATCAACCGCAAAATTTACCATGAACTAATGAAATGGCACTCATGATTTGTGCTAGTTCTGGCATAAATGGGTAAGTTTGGCCCATCATATCTTTTTAAACAAGCACAGTGACCTATTTTTTATTATAGTATTTTTCAAGTAGACATGGAAGGGAACATTTCAGGAAAGTTTATAAAAAAATTGTTTCATAATTTTTTTTTCCCGAGAAACCACTTTAACACAAACGGTATGTTGTAGTTTAAAATTATTCCAGCTCAAAATAACTTCAGAGTTTTGAAAAGAATGCAGTTTTCTTTGTACAAGAAATATAATTATAATCCACCTCGACCAAAGAATCAAACAAGTTTGAAATCATTTAGACCTAAAATTCATTTCAACTGAAGCACATCTTCCATAATCTTGAAGTACGTTAAGAAACAAAAATCAAACAAGTTTGAAACCATCTTAAGTAACTTGAAAATTTCCTTTTCACTCCAACAGACTAACCTGAAAGGGGGAGTCATACAGGAACATGATAATATTATAAGAGTAGTAGAGGTACTAAGCTTACCATTACTTCTTCAGCTTCTTTTATCAGACTAGCAGTTCTCTCCTCCAGTTGAGCATTGAGTCGCCTTCAAGTCAAAGTATAACAAATTATATTAACCATACACTCGCGCTCAGAAGAATTGATGAAAATAAGTACAAATCTGTTAAAAATTCTTCAGAAATAGAGTAAAAATATATTTAACGTGATGCCGTTATTTAAACGACAGCCAGAGGAACAATAACAAATAAGTTTAGTCGGGCTAAACGAGGAGCGAGGTTGCCAGTTTTTGCCGCCATTGTGTATGTTTGTTTATTTAGCTCACGGGATCGTAAGAGTAGCTGAGCACTGCTATCTTTATATCGACAATAATTTACACTTACATGTACTCCTCTTCCTTGCTCAGAAGGCCCTGTGCTATATTCTTTGTCTTTCCAGAGGGTGGCTTTTCCGTACTTGAAGATCTGGGCAAACTTCCTGCAGATTTTCGACCGCCATTTGAAGAAAATGAGGAAGATCGCTTTGCAGCCGAACTTGGACGTGACTGTAGAAAAAGGAAAATCAAGATTGTTTACACTGACTTATCTTCCTCTGTCTTAAAAAGACAAAATGATTGCAAATCATAATCTCATCACACACCATGGTAAAAGCTTTGTCTGAAAGTTTGTGTTTTCTGGTAGATTTGAAATCCAAGCTTGTACTTACTGGCTTCTCGGTTTCAATTCTAGCGCCATTTTGAAAACCGATACACACTGGGAACCAACTTGTAGCTCCGCTTAGTCGATGTCGGATATTTCGCATTCTTGATTTGGGTAGCGAATGACCTTTCAAGAGTAAGCTAAACAGAAAAAAGGTCGACGATGTGAAATTTAACGTAGTTCACTCTTTTCAGTCACTCTCTATCAAGTTTCGGTCTCGAAACGGCGTTGAAGCGTTGTTCCGAGAAACAACTCAGGACGCGTGGGTATAATCTTAGGAATAATCCAATCTTAGGTATAATCAGAGTTAATATTAACTATGGTATAATTCAAAGGGAAGACAGTGCCCTTTGTGAAATATGGGAGAAGAGCATCCACCCCAGGTCTGGTTTTCAATCCCACCGGTGCGTACCTCAGAAATGAGCAGTTCAAAGACGTCGCTGAGGAAAACGGGTGGAAATACGTGGGGTATCCAGGCGAAGTCAAAACAAGCGACATCAAGAGCATCCGATCAATCCTGTCTACGTGGCAGTCGGCTCCAGAATTTTCTTACCCATTGGTTCAATGTCAGGAAAACTGCAAGAAAAGAATCTACAGAAAATTCTCGACTAAATGGCTCGTCAAGATGGCAATGGGGGCTGTCATCATTTTCACAGGAATATGAATGATTTGAGCTGTTAGTCTTGGGGCCAGTGGGCTCTAGAACAAGGTACCCTAGCTAGTGATCTGCTGTTCTTGATAGGAACCCCACGCTTAAGGGAGAGGACAATCGAATAGGCATTTTTTTTTTAATTAGTACTCTTCAAGTTCAATCGTATGATAATGAGTTTTCGTTTGTGTAAGTTTCTCTTGAGAATTTCTCATGCAACTCTAGTAGTAAAGAGAAGGTATCAAGAGCGTAAGAAAGAACCGTTAAACCACTCATTTAGCATATTTGTTTGCATGGGGATCAATTGATAGTACAATAATTATTCACGAGGGTATTATGGCATGGGATCATCTACCACAGCGGATAGTTTGAACCCAGTTGTAACTGTTGATCTTATAGTTTAATCGTTCGGGTAATACTGATCATGAACGCAAGTCACATGCACTCTTTTCTCATGACAGTTCGCTCAGATTATCAAAGTGTCAGTGGTTAGTACCAACACTCGTGGGTTCATGGTCTTCTCTCATACGACCACTAAAGCAACCGATCAAATACGGAAAATCACTTGTACTTTGAGTAAAAAGGGGTCGAAAATAGAAACATCATTAAAACTCTACACTTTTCATTCCTAAATTTATTTTATTTTCCTTTAAACAATCTTAAATGAACACTTTAGGAATGCATTTTCTGATTGATCCAGTTTATGTCCAGTATATGTAACTGTCGCCTCATCCACCTAGCCCAGTGTGCTGTTTGATCCAAGCTCGGTATTGTGTCACACGGGCAAACACAGTAAAAAGTTGTTTAGCATTGCAACTGGAAGAACCCCAGCTTACTGCACCGTGTAAAGTGTATGTCTTCCCATCCGCATTCAAGCACACAAACGGGCCTCCACTGTCACCATGTCAGCAACTAAGAATGGTTTTATCCACGCCGGCGCACAACATTTGCGGAGTTAACGTTATTGAGACTACTAAAAATAAATAAATCCACAGATAAGCACGAATAATCCTAAAAAAAAAAAACAGTTAATATTCATTGATAAAGATAATCCAAAAATGCTTTGGATTTTTTCAACAACAAAAAAAATATCTTTTTCTGACGGATGTTACTCGAATTCAATACATTCTTGCAGGAGTTAAGTGTCACTTGACTTAGTAAATGAAAGGGTTCCTCAATTAACAAATAGTGGGTTAGAGGACATCAGATCCGCAAAGGCAGCAGGCCAATTAACACAGGTTTGATAAAGAAGTATGGTTAGTTCGAAGAATTTTTTGATAAATATAATACAACGTGATAAATATTAGATAATCAAATTGATGCGAGCAAGAGCAGTTTAAAAAAAAAAATTTTCAAAATTACACTTAAGGAAAGTAATCCAAATTCCATGAAAGCAATCATGATCAAATACTCAACTGACTCAGTGATCGGTCCCTGAACTACAGCACCATCTAGGTCGGTTTAATAGATTCTGATTTCGGGTCCACAAGATGGCATTAGCCTCGGCATTTTCACGGCGATTGGTTCAGATCAATAAGATTCTTAAAACATTGGAAATCCATTCTCGTTTTGCTCTTCTTTTACTCTAAATAGTATTTAGGGGTGATGAAGATTTTCCGTGCTTTAGTTTCGTAGCATGTCAGCCAGATTTAATGTATAATTTTGCGCTTCAGTGTTGTGTACGTGGACATTTACACGGCATAAAAAGAGAGTATTCAATAAAGCTTATGAATAAATTCTGCATTGAAACGCTAAAAGCAGTGTGCAAAGAACTGACAACGTTATGATGAGAAAATCTGCAAAACTATCTACAGCACCTCCACTTGCTTGAATCCTCTGCCGACACTTCGCTGCATCATGGCTTGGTGTAAAATAGGATGAGAACTTCCCGGATGTTTAATCTTTCCCCAGCCTATGAAAGCAGAAAGTTCACAACATTACTAAAACAAATACGTCAATAGCCCTATAAGACAGATTCGTCGGTTTCAATTGTGTCCTCATCCATTAAGTGACAACCTGCCAAGGAAGAGAAAGTGATACCAAAAAGTGTAAGAGGAAACACGACAATGTTTCAACCATGCTTGCAATTTGAGAAGGCATCTTCCGTTATCTCCAACGCAGAGCTTTCTAAAAGAAAATCCCGAGCAATTTTTAAGCTCATTATAGAAAATCATGTATGCATGGAAATATGGTTGGCGCGCTCGACTCCGGATCGAGTGGTCCGGATTCGAGCCCCGGCCGGGGGACATTGAATGAATGAATGAATGAATGAATGAATGAATGAATGAATGAATGAATTTCTTATTCATATTGCGCCCTTTCTATAAAATATTCAAAGGCGCAGTACCCCCCCCCACCCCCATCAATTTAATAGACACTACACAAAGATAGACCACAAACACCTACTCTTTTCGAACAGTGTGTGGGTTCTTTAACGTCCCACAATTTTTTTTTTTTTTTTCACATACAAGGGCTTGTGAGACGGGACCTCCATTTATCGTCCTTATCCGAGAAGACTAGAAAGTCTAACCATTTGCAGATATTATTACAAAGGCAGCACTTTCTTCTCAGTTATTTAAAGACCCCGAGTGTTGGTCCGGCCGGATTTGAACTCGCGACCTCCCGCACAACAGTCCGGCGCTCTACCAATTGAGCTAACCGGGAGGCGGTTGTGTTGCGCTCATTGTGACATTGTGTTGCGCTCTTAGGCAAGATACTTTTACTCTCACACTGCCTCTCTTCACCCAAGTGTTTAAATGGGTAGCGGCAAATTTAATGCAGGGGGTAACCCTGCGATGGACTAGCATCCCATCCAGGGGGGAGTAGAAATACTCTTAGTCGCTTCATGCTACGGAAATCGGAGATAAGCGCTGGCCTGATGGGCCACTGGCTCATAAACAGACTTTTATTTGGAAATATGCAGAACTCTACATTGTGGATAATGCTCCGCTGGTTAGGCAAGTAAAATTAAAGCTGATTCTACCAACTATAGGTTTCCGGTTGGGCGTGCGAACAGTTAGAAAGGTTGGCAAAGAATTTTCTTGCGCAAGCCAGCGCGTCAGCACTAAAATTCAAGGCTTGTGTGTTTTTCTCTTATACATGAGAATTGAGGGCATTTTCATCGCATGGGATTCTCATAGTGGACATTAAACAAGCGTATTTCTTATTACCAATCTCACCAGTAATGTAGCATTTTGATCCTGTAGGTACATCTGAATCGCTAGATGGCAGGCACACAGGGTTCACCCTGGCAGAGAGCTTCACAGGCGCAGCGAGTTCAACCAAGGCGATGTCATTGTTAAGTCTACCAGGTCGATTGTATTCAGGGAAAGAAATGATTAGCTTGGCGCCAACCGTCTCCTCTGTTCCTTCGTTAGCATTCTGATTGTGATCACCCACAACTACTTTGTAATCAGCAGGATTTCTGAAAATAAATAATGGAAGTACGCTCAGGTTGATTTGGAATTACTTCAATTGTACAATCGATAAAGAAAGTTATGTTTACTCTGGAAACTTGGCCCCGTGAAAGAACTTCATTGTATAGTAGGATGTGAATTATGTGTTGCCGTTTTTGGTTGCTCAGTTAATCGGTTTATTGGCCTGTTGATTCTTCCGTTTGAGGTTTGCTGTTTGTATTGTAAGTCAATCGGTTGCAATTCTCGGTGTTTTTATCCGGTTTTAAGGATGTCTTTTTTTTTTCTTTCAGTTTTTTATGGTTCATGGGGGGTCAATTGCAACTGGCCGATTGTGTCTGTTGCTTAGTTAGGTTTATTATTCGACGTTGGTCGCTTAGATGGTTAGTTGGTTGGGTCAGGTCCGTGATTCGTTTGTTGTTGGTTCCTAATTAAGGTCGTCAGTTTGATAGTTGGTTGGTTTGCCTGTCACTTCAAGATAACTGGTCAGTCCGTGATGTGGTTGGTCTCTATACGTTGATGTTGGTGGGTTGATTGGTTGTGTTGGTGGGTCGTCGATCAGTTTGATAATCAGCTGGTTATTTGCTCAGAAGCTTCATCATACCTGCTCCCTGTTTATGAAACAAAAAAGGAAACACTTACCCGCTTCCTGCTACACAATGAGCGGCAGTAATTATCCAAGTAGCAGAAATGAGCGATCCTCCACAGATGAAACTGTTACGACGCTTTAATGCAATCTAAATTGCGAAACAATCAATATTATTAATACCACAAATTTCACTCATTCTATAAAATTTCATAAAATATCCAATGTCTTCAGTTTGAGGGATTTAATGAACCTTAGCCTTCAAGCTTGCTATATATACATGATTAATTACAATTCAACGATTCGAATTTGCCAATGATGATCGAATCAAAAGTTTACCTTTCCGGGACGTGTCTAATACATCCTGTAAATGACATTACAGTGAGGTTTCTCTTCTCTCAAAACAGACAAAGTAGAAGACTTGCTAGAGCAAAGAAATCATACCTGCCACGGCCAAGCTCCAGGCTTCGCATCCTGGCCTCCAATGACACGTGATTGAGTGATGGACGTGAAGCCGCACGGGAGTTGCCCTGGTCGTAAAATTACATTAATTCTGTTCAGTTGGTCATCTTAAAGGGGAATAAGGCCGCAAATATTTCTTGTTCAAGAGAATTATCTCACGACCGTTCTCGTTTTTCGCTTAGGGTTAGGTTACACTTGGGAATGCTTGATCGAGTGAGGTCAACAACAAAGATTGATAGAAATCAAGGATAAAGTTAAAATCAATTTTGCATCGTTTGGCAATCATCAATTCTTAACTTACGAAATGATTAAAATCTAAACGAACAATATAATAAATCTCTCAACGATTTCCTAAAACGACGTCGATAATTCAGTTGAGAAGTGTGCGCAAGAACAAGGTTTTGCTTCAACACTGAAAACGAAAATACAGGCTAAAGAGAAATGTAGATTTAGATGCAAATTTGTTGATCTCATTTCTAACGAGCAAAGCTTCAAGGCGATCGAGAGGGAATTTGGCGAGTTGATTGAGAAAAGAATTTTCGATTCGTTCTGTAACCGTTTTAAAGAGATCGCAGTTGGTGCGAAGTATCAAAACATCGTCTACTCGGCTTGTGAATGGTTGACCATTGTAGCCGACTTTTTGCATTCGTCGACTCCAAAAACTGTGTTGCACCGTTCTCGGAACCAAAACCTGACGTTTACTACCTCTTTTGTATTTTATTTCTATTTCCTAGGGAGTGCACTAACGAACTTACCTTGACACATTCTACACGACTTTTGACAGTTTTTTTGCGACCAAACTTTGTTTTTGTTGCAGAAATTTCCACATGAAGCAATTGAGGGACAAATATCAGCGTATTTATGATCATCATTACAAGCTGTGGAGAATATTAGATGCTTTAATAATCAATTGCTGTGGTCGTGGGCGCTAAATGGCACACAAAAATCTACGGGGGAGATGGAGGGAATCTCAAAATATGCGTTTTTTTTTTCTTGAAAATCTTTTTCAAATAAAATTTTCGGGAAGGTGTAACCCTTGAATTTCTTATTGGCCGAGATTTTGAGCGCTCACCTTCTCTATTCTTATTAAGCCCATCGGGTAAGACTCATAAGACTTGTTATTTCTCAAATTTTACTTCGGCCTCTAAATTTGAACGGAACGTGTGGTTATGGAGAAAGCAGTCTTGTGAATGTAATTATCAGACATCGATATTTTACCTGGTGGTAGAGGGGGTTGAGCTGTTGGCGTTGTCACTTGGGGAGATGGTGCAGCTGTTAGTGTTGGTAGGGGAGACGGACTGGGTGGCGAAAAGCCTGCCTTGTTGATTATCCATGACCTCAGATTAGCGATGCTAGCGTAGACTCCAAACTTGTTAGGGCGGGCGCAGCCATAACCCCAGCTTTTGGCTCCTTCCAAAAACCATCTGCCATTGAACTCACAGACAAGCGGTCCACCACTGTCGCCTTGACAGGTATCCACTCCGCCTTCGTCCAGACCAGCACATAACATGGAGTCGTCTATCTTGCCAGGATAGGCATCCAAGCAACGCAATTTTGATACAAGTGGGACGCTGGCTTGCATGAGTGCGTTGGGTTGACTGCCACCGGATGCCAGTGTCCCCCATCCACTTATCCAGCAGTGTTTCTTCTTGTTGTTGATGGGAAGAATGTTACTCGGGTTTGATAAACAGACGAGCCCAACCCCTTGACTAAGTACAGCGGGTTTAGCAAGTTTTAGGAGAGCAACGTCATTGCTGAAGGGCTTTGGTTTTTTATAATTCTCGTGGGAAATGATCTGGGCGACGTTGATATCCTGTTCGGTTCCCACCGAGCCTGATACTCGATAATGAGCTCCCAATCTATGTTTAATACGAAATAATTGATCATAAATTTTGTCTGGTGAAAAATCGCCCGTACCTTATTAAGATAAAATGGTTTCCAAAATTTGCATTATATTTTCTGATTTTGTGTTTTTAGCTTTTCGTTCTTTTTGCTCACAAGTATATTGTATGGTAACGGCTGATTTTTACGCACTGCACAGGATGCGTAGTGCAACTCTGAGGAATCACCTTAACGTTAACCATAATGAAGGTTGAAGAACATGTTTAAGCATTCTGTACAACAGGCGCGTAGCGTCCTGTACGCATATACGCACGTGCGTACTTGAAGTGATCAGAAAATTGTGAAAACAATGTTGTGTTTGCGCCAAGTTTGCTCAAAATAAGGGCAAGACGCTTTGTTCTTTGCTTGTATTCACACAACTATTTCAAACAAGAAATAAAGAACGAAGTATTTTTCGCTCAGTTTACTTAGGTTTCTAGATCATATGTACTTGTGCGTACTTGAAAAAATGACCACGCTACGCGCCTGTATAAAGTACAAAATGAATTTAGTTTGATAAATTGTTGTAGTCAACGAAGTTACTGAGATGAGAAGATATATTCTGCTGGGAGCTGGATGTGTTCAAGAGAATTGTTTACTTCATTGTTTTTTTTTAGTTTTTTGTTCCTTCACCTTTCTTGTATCAGGATCCACATCAATAGATCATGCATGGACATTAAGTTTCCTGATCTGAAGATTAATTTCATTATAGTCCTTAAGCAACGTATACCAACCTGATTTTAACACTAGTGGGCGATGACCGACTAAAGCAATGCGCTGCTGTTACCACCCACAATGGGTCAATTAGTGAGCCTCCACAAAACTGACGGTTAGATTTGGTGAGTATCATTACTTGCCACGGCCAGCTGTTTTTGGGTGCTTCTGTGCCACCAACGATTCGAACACTTGGTCGGGATCCACAATTGCCGGCTAAACAGGTAACAAAAGGAGAGCACTTCAATATTAACGGAAACGGATGCTTGTTCTTTGACCGACTAGATTCGATTTGTTGTCCGTAGGGACGCCTATCAACTGCCTTTAAAATGATTGGACTTTGTTTTCTTATTAGGTTCTTATTATCGTATTCACTTCAGTCCAGCAGTAGATGATGTGTGGCTGGTAATCGTAAGATTGAATAAATACAACTTTATCTCGCGGGGATCACGTGGAACGTGCAGTACTGAATGCAGGTATGTATTTGATATTCCTCCATATCTCATTGAAAGATATTGAACGACACTGAAATCACGATTGCTAATGACTTAGGACTAAGAACAGTAAATGTAAACAACTATTAAAAACTGTTTTATTTCAGTGGACAATTTTTTTTCTGGAAAGAGATGTTTCAGAAAAGAGCCGTTGAAAACAGTCAGGTTACATAGACACGGTGTCCATGTAATCTTTTTGCACGGGGGAAATCAAAAAAGCGCGCACTATGATTCCAAAAAATGAAATAAAAGATACCTGAAGGCGGAGGGTGTGTGGGGGGAGCTGAAGTGGATGGGGAGGAACAACTCTCTTTCTCTATCGTTACGTCATCAATGGCTATATCTCCTTGCCAAGAACTTCCTCTGATTCCCTCAAATGTCACTTCAACCTCAAAGAATGTAATCAATTTGTTAACTTACATGTTCAGTTTATTCTTGGCTGTATCGATTACACCCTTTTTCGTTTGTTTTATAAAAAATTGGCTAAATTTCCAATACTTTCTCATCATGTTGTGACCGACTTTAACATAAGCTACCAGAGGCACACAAGATCTCCCTAGATACACGGCGGCTTTCAGCCCACAGTCAAGATTTTTGTGAAAAGTATGAAGAGGATGAATCTTCATTCTATGATTTCATTCCAAAAGTAAGAACTTCTTATTAAAGAAGACTTACTCTTCCACTTGAAGCAGAGACGGGAACCTTCGCCTCTATCCACTTGTTTCCCTGACTACCTGACTGGGTGAAAACTCTCGAACTCCCACTATAGACGTTCAGTATTTTCACCGACTTTCCATACATGTGATAAAAGAACCTCAGGCAAAACGCGCCGCCACCAGAACCCGTAAATTTAAGCTTTGCTATGTCTCCGTCTTTTCTTGGGGATGAAGTCTCAATATACATATAATTCCCTGAAATAAGATGAGAAAAGTTATTTCGGTATGAAGTTATCTAGGTACATAACCATTGAAGTAAATGACGACACCAATATATTTTGGAACAGTTCCCATACAATTTACTGTTCAAGCAAAAGGCTTTACATAATGATTGTAGTAAAATGATGCAAGCTAGGACTGACTGATTAGCTTTTGATTCAATGAATGGAGAAAAAACTCTTTTATGAGTGTGCAGGGCAAGCTTTGAAAATCAGTCAAGATTTTCTCGTTTTAGGTGCAAAGCTTTAGAGAAATTGTTAGCATGATGAACACAAACTCTGAAAAGCCGGCCGGCAGAATGATTTCATTACCTCGCAAACGATTATCATATCCTTTAATCAAGGTCTAGCGATCAGAAAACGCAACAAGAGAAAAATATAACTTTTCAAAGGTGACGAATTTTGAACTGATTCCGTATCTACAGTTGTGTTTTTTCTTTCATAGAAATGATTAGGCTCAGTACCTGTATCACTTCTATTTAAATTGCTGGAATAACGTTTATTCCAGCTCGGTCGCGCGGACTTCCCCTAGTTCTTTTCTACCCGTTGTTCGTTATGTTCGATATTCATGTCATCTAAAGTCTTTTGACGAGAAAAGAGGGTCGACGTCTCTCCAGAATACAACACATACCTGAACCTCCGTGGCCCGAAGATGGACCAGTGTTAGACGATGGGGTGGAACCAGATCTCAATGTCCAGTCGAATGTATCTGACTTATCCTGGGTCCAGCCAGCACACATACCACTTTCAAAGTCACACGAAGATACTGCAAAGGAATTTCAACAATGAGAGTTTTTTTCTCCAAATACTATTTCGGAATTATTACTCTAACAAAAGCATAAATGAAAAACGAATGTTGAAAAACGCAGGAAAAAACTTTCATGTTCTTAGGCGGCCTTCGTTACTAAATATGTGTTGGGGTTTATCGTTGCATGATAAAATGTTTTGCAAGGGATTTTAAAAGGAAGAAGGAGTTATATGAAAATGGAAGATTATGTTCTTTATTTTTCTGTACTTTCCATATCACAAATAGAATAAATAAAACAGGTTACGGCATATTTACAAATAGATGGAGGAGTGGTGGCAGGTGATGTCGTTGGGCCTTTTAAACAAAAGTTATAATATTATATTTAGTCATTTAAGGAATTTAAAATTCTATCATTAATGGGTTAGAAATAACCTAAGGCGAGTTAAACATAACTTGATATAGCAGTATAGCATAGTACTCGTAGTAATTGACATGAAAACACGTTAGAGGATGGGCTTTTTTACATAGTCCTCCAACTCTCTTTGAAATATATTGAACGACACTGAAATCACGATTGCTAATACTCAGGACCAAGAAAAACCGATAAACATTAAATGTGACTAACAATCAAAAACTGTTTTCCTTTCAGTATGGTAATTTTTTTCTGGAAAGAGACTTTTCAGAAAAGAGCCGTTGAAAAACAGTCAGGTCGTGTAGACACAGTATCCATATGATATTTTGCACGGGGGTAAGTTAAAAAGCACGCACTGTGATTCAGTAAAATTAAAATAAAAAGATACCCGAGGGCGGATGGGGTGTGGAGGGAGAGGAAGTGGATGGGGCGGAACAACTTCCTTTCTCTATCGTTACGTCATCGATGGCTATATCTCCTTGCCAAGAACTTCCTCTGATTCCCTCAAATGTCACTTCAACCTGAAAGAATATAATCGATTTGGTAACTTACATGTTCAATCGGGAAGGTTGCTTTTCTTCACCAATTTTTGGACGTAGCGAGCCCGCGCTTTTCCTTTGTTTTACCGAAATTGAGCTAAATTTCGATAATTTCTCAGCATGTTGAGACGAATTTTAACATAAGCTACCAGAGGCACACCACAGCTTCTTAAATACACGAGGACTTTCAGCCCACAGTCAAGATTTTTATGAAAAGTTTGAAGAGGATGAATCTTCATTCTATGGTTTCAATCCAAAAGTAAGAACTTCTTATTAAAAAAGACTTACTCTTCCACTTGAAGCAGAGACGGGAACCTTCGCCTCTATCCACTTGTTTCCCTGACTACCTGACTGGGTGAAAACTCTCGAACTCCCACTATAGACGTTCAGTATTTTCAGGGACTTTCCATACATGTGATAAAAGAACCTCAGGCAAAACGCGCCGCCACCAGAACCCGTAAATTTAAGTTTTGCTATGTCTCCGTCTTTTCTTGGGGATGAAGTCTCAATATACATATATTTCCCTGAAATAAGATGAGAGTAAAAAGTCGTTTCGACATATTAACCAGATAGATAACCGTAGACTGAAATAAATGACGTCTCCAAAATATTTTGGAACAGTTTCCATACAATTTACTATTGAAGCAAAATCCTTTACATAACTATGATTGTAGCAAAACGACGCAAAGTTAGAACTGATTAACTTTCTGATTGACTGAATGAAAAAGAATGTTTTTTTTTGAGTGAGCTGAGCGAGCGTTGAAAAAGGCAGGAGATTTCATCGCCATGCAAACGGGGAAATTATCACATTCTTTAATCTAGGTCTAACGATCAACCAAACGCAATAAGAGAAATATATTTTTCATTGCTGAAGAATTTTGAATTGATTGATTCCGTATCAACAGTTGTGTTCTTTCTCTTTCATAGAAATTACTAAGCTCAGTAGCTGTGTCACTTCTGTATAAATTGATTGAATAACCTTTATTCCTGCTCGGTCGTGCTGATTTGTTTACTTTTCTACCCTTTGTTTATTTCGTTAGATATTTCTGTCCTCTAAGGTCTTTTAATGAGAAAAGAGGGTAGATGTTTCTCCAAAATGTAATACAAAATGATGATTTCAGTGATAAATCTCTTTGATAATTCTCTTCGTGGCGATAATGGTTTCTAAATCATGGTAAAATTGTAACTAATAATTCTTTCAACACATACCTGAACCTCCGTGGCCCGAAGATGGACCAGTGTTAGACGATGGAGTGGAACCAGATCTCAATGTCCAGTCGAATGTGTCTGACTTATCCTGGGTCCAGCCAGCACACATACCATTTTCAAAGTCACACGAAGATGCTGCAAAGGAATTTCAACAATGAGAGCTTTTTTTCTCAGAAGTCAGCTTTTTCATTTTGGATTTATTACTCTAGCTAAAGCTTATATGAAAACCGAAAGTTTAAAAACGTAGGAAAAAACTCTTAAGTTCCTACGCGACATTCGTTTCTTAATATGGGTTGGGGTTAATTTATCGTTACATGATAAAATGTTTTGTAAGGAATTTGAAAAGTTAAACAGGAGTTATATGAAAATGGCAGATTATGTTTTTTGTCTTTCTGTGCTTACTGTATCACAAATAGATTAAATGAACAAAACAGGTTATGGCCTACTCACAACCGGATGGAGGAGTGGTGGCAGGTGCTGTCGTCGGCCTTTAAAAAAAATAAATCGATATATATATATATTTATACATAAATGGGGATCCATACCGGTTCTCCCCCATCCTAGCATCAGCACTGCACTGATGAGGCCCAGAAGGCCAACACAGTACTGTCTGCAGTTAGATATAGCTCTTTGGTATACAAAGCTCTGCTTTCATGTCCAAATTGAGCAATGTGGGACGAGTCATCGCCGCTAGCATTGTGCATAGCTCACTAGGCTCTTCTAGTTTGAGCACTGTGTTATGGCTTAGACGATACTACAAGTGTGGGATCGTTTGGGGATCCATATCGGTTCTCCCCCATCCTAACATCAGCCCAGAAGGCCGAAACAGTTTAAAGCTTCTCGGCCTTAAAAAGTGCTTTTTTCCATACTGTCATTTAGCAATATTTTATAATTATAGAGTAGTGAGATACAATGAATATATGAAGTTCATATATTTTGAACTGCGGTATTGAATACGTATGATGCACGATCCTCGCAGTAGATAGCGCTATTTATGCAATAGCGAAAATCAGACCTGAAAAAAAAAATCAGGCCTGTACGGGACTCGAACCACTGACCTCTGCGATACTAGTGCAGCGCTCTACCAATTGAGCTAACAAGCCAACTGGGAGCAGGCCGTTAAGTTGATTCGTAATAAACCCGTGAAAGTGATAAATGAGATACAATGAATATATGAAGTTCATATATTTTGAACTGCGGTATTAGATACGTATGATG